ATTAAATAGATAAATGGGCGGCGCTGTTGTTCACGCTTCACTATGCACAAAGCAACTTGCATTCAAAATTGGGCTCATGGCAGTTCAGCAACAACCTCGCACAATAGCGTCATTAGACACGCAGGGCCGGCTCGCAGGCGCAGAGGCTGCTCTGCAGCTGGAGTAGCCACCGGGCTGGCCTGGTGTGGGCTTTTTTTTTTTTTTAAGCTTTATAAAAATGCATCTTTAAAAGAAAAATGTATATAWAGAAGATGCAGTGTCTTTTTCTTAAAGGCTTGGGCACGCGTTGCTGTTTGAAGGCAGGGGGAAGAGAGGGGAGGATGGGATTTGTGGTGTCCAYGTGCCCTCCGTCTTTCGTGCCGACTGCTTCTCGTAGGCAAATCCTCCATTTCCAGAGTGTGGAGGGGGCAAATAAGGGACCTGTGTCAGAAAGCCTTCACGTGCTGAGTTCTTTGAGAATGTTCTCTGGCAGGTTGCTGACTTAGTGGTACGGGTCTCTTAAAGCCAAGAGGGAATGGAAAATTTAATCCCTCTGCTTGCCTTGGCACTGGTGCCTTTCAAGCAAAGGAGTTGGGTGCTCAGTGAATCTGACAGATAGGGAAGGTTGGCTCTGCTGGAGCTCTCAGCCTGATCTGAGAGTGGTTTAGGTTTGGGATTAATTGGCATGGTGTTGATTGTGCTTTAAAAATGACCCTGACTTCTGCTGCCCTGAGAAGGAATTCAATTTTATTAGTAAGYAGAGAAGTCCAGTATAAAAATCAGCAGCTATCACTGTCGTCAGGATGGAGCCAATCTTGGAAGGGGTCAGCTTGCCCATGGCTTGTTCTCCTCCACTGGGCAAATCATTGGATTCCCAAATTTCACCTTCCTCAGGTGTAACAGAGGTAACGAAGCCTGCTCTCCATGGTAGGAGCACCTGGAAGCCCAGGTACTGGAGGCACATCCCCTTAAAACTCTCCTTCCTTATACTGTGTTAACTTTCAGACAGTTTAACCACATGCCTCCATTGGAAAAGGTCTGAATTTAACAGATTGGTGGCAGAAATGGGAGAAACTGTTCACTTGTGGGCTGCGTGGCATCCATGTGGTGTGCATGCTCAGTGCTCCCAGCATCATCTTGTGTCAGAGCCAGCCTGGGTCTCTGTTTCCCTGTAAGTAATTTAAAATCAAGAGGCAATTTGATTGCAGAACAAGCTGGCCTTCCCAAATGCTCTCCTAACACCATGCTTGGCACTGAACCTTTCAAGTCTTCCTCCTGTCCTTGTGCCTGCACAATGTTTGTGTTTTAATGACTCTAAAGGCCTGGGATTTGCTTTGACATACCAAGTTAATGTTTTCTTTTTCTATATCAAATCTAGGTCAATCTCTGGCTTAGCACTAATGCTGTACTGAGCAAAAAAAGGATTGGCTACTAATGGTTTCAATTTAGTTTTTTATGGAGTAGAGAAAATTTCACTCAATAGCTATTTTCATTTTTATTCCATTGGCCTTTCCACCAGGCCTGTTGGGATGGAGAAAGTGCTCGTGATTTGATTAGAGGASACCCCAGAATGAATCCTTCATGAATATGGATGAGGATAAGAGTTGCTGCTCACCTGTGCTGTGTCCATAGGACATGCCTTCAGGGACTGCATCCCAGTGGGGGTCAAGTGGAAGGCAATCCCAAGCATGGGGGTTTCTGTATGGAAAAGCCTCACCTGTGATTTAACATCATCCTAGCTGAGGTCCTTACTTACACAACATAGGGGAAGGAGAGCTGAAGAGTAATTCCTCTGCTTCRTGTGTCTGTGTGCCTGTAGACAGCTCAATCTGATCTAGCCCTGGCCAGCATCTTTGGGAKGAGGCTCCTCCATGCCTGCAGCATCAAAGGGCTGTCAGGACCATTCTCTGTCTGCTGTGAGCCCTAGTTTTGTCTTTCCCTACCCTGTCCCAGTCGCTGTGTACCACAGCCGAAATGCAGGTGGGATGATGGCAGAAGGACTGATACACCACAGCTTGCAGCATTAATGTGGAGCAATGAGTGTRCATTTATGTTATTTTTATGGCTTGATGACACAAGGAGATGGCAGAGGGAAGTTTAATGGGAGCAGGGTGGCACTCACCCCTCTGGTGATGGTCTAAAAGGCCTGGGGCAGCACCAGTCCCTCCGCTGGCACATGAATGCTGCGTTGCTGGATGATGGAGATTGCTGGCAGATGGATTAGAGAGTGCCTCCCCTCTTAGGAGCTCGCGGGTGAATATTGTGATTGCATGTATTTATTTTTAAAATTATTATGGCCATTAGCATAGAAATGAGCTGCAGCTCCCTGGCTGCTGGCCAACCCCACCCAGGCTGGCGTGCAGCTCTTCTCCGTGGCGGCTGGAACAAAAGCGCCTGGCTGGTAACAAGGGTCCTGCCGCTTGCCACGGAAAGACAAGTGACAAACAGGAGCAAACACTCTGCTCCATGAGTTTGTTACAGTCAGTTGGGACATTTATGAAAACCTCACATGGGTCAGCAGAGATTCAGCCCCTCCAAGTAATGCCCAGTGAAGCAGCTGAGCTCCCATCCCTTTCCTCTCCTTCTCCCTGGTGATTTATTCCCAAGCTAAAAACCTGGTAATCACTCACATTGAAGTTTTGTTGCTGTTTTACAGGAGATGCTTCAAAAGTCTTTTGTCTCTGCAACTGTAAATAAACTCATAAACCTGTTTTAAAAATAGCATTTTGTAGCTCAGTGCATGAATTTTTAATGCATCTTCTGCAAACCAGCTGGTCTTGGCAAGGGTCACAGAGTTTCCTAGGCATTTAACATAAAACTGTGCTTCAAAGCCACATTATAGTGTCGTTGAAGAGTAATATTTTACTTAACATCCTCATAACTGAATTATTTATAACTTGCCATGTTTTATTCATGATAAATATTAATACTGGTGTCTTTAAGAGTAGAGGTTATTGCTGCAGTTTTACCTATAAGAGGTGATATTATTGAAATAAAGGAACGGCAATGAATTCTGTAGCCAGCAGAGCGAAGTCTGTGCCGGGGCTGTTCTCATTCACACCTCCCTCTTTTATCAACCCTGTCAGCCACCAAAAAACCTCAGTGCTGAGCATCTGTACATTTGAAATGAATTTTCCTGCAGGCATCTGAATCCCTGCTTTAAAAAAAAAATTTCTTAGAGAGCTTTGTGTCATTCTCAGTAATTCTTGGATTCATTTCTTGGTGAGGGTCTGTAAGCTTTGGCTTTGCAAAAATGCTCACCCTGGCCTGGGTCTCCATCCTTGAAATGTTCTGCAAGGCTCCCTTGAGCTCCTCTGCTGCAGGCTCACCCCTGGATGCCCCATCTTTTGAAGCATCCCTTGCCACCTTGGAAGAGGTATCACCTGGTGCRGGAGACCTCCTAGCAGCCTTTGGGCTCCTTCCCACATGACTGAATGCTCTGGGCCATGATCAGTTGCATTTCAAGGCTAAATCTATATGAATTGGGTAAATTGCCATTGCACCATTGGGCTCCATCGTTTACCAGAGAGTATAATTGCATTGTCTTTCATCTTGGGAAAGGGCAATATAATTTTCCGTGATCTTTCACCTTGTGCTGGTGTGTCCCCATCTGGCTGGAACATTGCACAGCCACTCCCCTGTCCAGCTTGCAACACGGGGCTGGCTGCCCATCCTACCCTCATGCCTACAAAACCTTCCCAACCCTATGGCCAGAGCTTTGCAGGGCCAGAGCTTTGCTCCGTGTTCCTCCATCAGCTTAACAAATCTGCCGTCAGCGGGTTGAGAGCGGTGGTTGAGGGAGCAGCGCAGGTTAATGCAACACATATTTAATGTATGATTGCTAATGGCCATCTCCCATCTGCCTGAGCCCAACTGCAGTTTGCAGATGAATGATTACGCTGCCCTGACACATAGGCAGCTTGTTCCTTAGCAGACCCACAGTCATTACACTTGATGCATGTAAAAGGGGCCGAGGCTTTCTTGCTGGGGAAAGGGGTCTKATTGGGCTGGGGTGGCAGAGCAGGGGGTTCTCTTCGAGTTTATTTTGTATGGTAATGTGAGAGATCTTCCCGTGGATGCAGCACTTTAAATGAATCATGAGCTCAATAACCACTGGGATGTTTATTAGCTTCGAATATGTTTATTGCGGAGTCAACAGGCAGCACCTTCCAATTAATTAATAGTAATAATTACGGTATTATTTATGTAGCTCTAACAGCGTGCCAGAGTGTTTCCGCACGATGGTTACAGCTGTGGCTTTGCTGGAACAGGCTGGTCTGTATTCACCCTGCGTGGGCATGCTGGGGTTCATCATTTGCTGTTGGGTGGTCCCAGCCCCAAAAGCCTTGCTTTGCTGAGCTCTTGGCAGCTGCTCTTTCTTTTGGCTGAATCCTGTTGCTCTGCAGCGTGGGGATGTGGCTGCTCCTGCTGCGGTGCTGGAAGGCAGAATATGCAATGAACAGGAGCACCTGCAAACAGAGGTGGAAATCAAGGGGTGTASGTTTCACCACGGTATTTTGGCATTCTTCTGCTCAAAGTATTTAAAYAACATGAGTTTAGGAGTCAAGCTGTACATATCAGAAGGGTATTGGCAGCAGATAACAGACTGGCAGTAACAAAAAATATCCCATCTCTCTTCTGATGTGGACTAGGATCCAAAGGCTGCTCAAGCTGTTGGGAATGACCTCTGAAAAGTGCCAGGGCAGTGTCTGTGTTTCTTGCTGCCCCCATAGACCTCACTGAGGTCCATGAGGGTCATGGAGCAAGGTCTTCTGTTCTGATTGAGCCAATCAGTTCAATGTGCAGAGGCAGGTGGGGTACCAAAGAATTCCCRCTACTCTTGTTTCTCCATGCAGAGGTTAGGCTGCAAACTAGCCTTTTGCTCTTACATTACATTAYAGCCCCTTTTGCATTCTGTGGGAAATCAGAGTATTTCTAGGTCATGTGAGGTTGTTGACATCTTCCAGTTGTTGAATTTTTCTTCCCATGTGAATAATTTTGTCTCTCTTTTTGTCTTCCAGCMATGTCTGACTTCCACATCCACCCTCAAAATGCAGTGGTGGAGGAAGGTGGTGTAGCGAGATTCCAGTGCCAGATCCAYGGCTTGCCTGAGCCAGTCATCCTATGGCATAAGAACAGCATGCCAGTCAACACAGACAATGAAAGGTAGGACATGTCCAAACCATGTGCTGCTGGCCTTTCTCCAGGTGGGAAAAGATGGCCACATTACTATTGCTTTCATGGCTGTGSTCAGACACAACTAACCTGGGCTAAGACACTTTTGTTTAGTGTTGTGACTTTTCTGATTTGGTTCTCCTTCTGGCCAAACACCTTGCAGGACTACTGGCATTTCCCAGGAGAGGTAGATAAAGCYTATTAGCTGATTTTGAAGGGCTTGACCCACCCTGATCAACCCTGCTCCAGGTTTATTTTCCAGCAYGAGGATCTGCTCAGCAAGCCTCAAAGAGCTGGGTAGCTTTGGCATCCCTCAGCTCTCTCTGAGTTCATTTTGTGTTACTCTTTCTGAGACAGATCCATGACTTAGGCATGGACTTGCATAGGGGTCCTGGACTCTTGCGAGTGCTGAATTACACCATGACTGCTATTCCCAGGTGGACTCGCTCATGTGTGGCAACTGGGGAGCCCTGCAGAGAGCTTCCCACAGCACCCTGAGCTGCCATTTCCCAAACAATGTCCTAAAGAGAAACTCCAGCTGCCTCCCTTCCCAGCCTGGACCTGGAGCGGCACGTCGCCGCTTCCTGTGTTTGACAGGCTGCTCCCTTCGTGTCGGAAACATCCCTCATCAGGGTTTGATCGTCGGCACGGCGCGGGACAGGTGTCAGGAAACGCGCGCTCGGTGCCGGCAGCCTCCGGCAGCTCCAGCTGTAGCTCGGGAGCCGCACAACCGGCGCTGGGAGACAATCGGTCACAGCACACCTCCATCGCGGATTGACTGCCCCGCCTTGGGAATTGGTGAAACCAGGAAGCTGTAAATATTTTCCTGAAAGCCCCTATTCTTAAAAATGTCAATTCTGCAGCAGAATGTGGTTGGGTTCTTTGGAGGCAGGAGAATACATGAGAGCTGGAACAATGCCTGACCTTCTCAGAGTGGCAGTGAACTTACAGTAGAARGACCCAGGAGGCCCAAATCTGCTGTGGAAAACTGCAACTGTCAGGTTTTGTTTTACCTTGCGTTTTTCAGCTGAGCTTTTTTTAGCGGCACGGRGTTGATTTGTTAAACTTGACCTCCTCTGAAGGTTTTTTACTCATACAGGTGCTGAACTGGGGATGTAGTAGGGCATAGCAACTGATCAGAGGTGGCATCAGCAGAAGTAAGGGGAGGAGAACAGGCCTCAGTGCCTTGTGGCATCCCAATGAGATTTTGCAGGACATGTGAAGTTCCCCTGAAGTCCTTCATGCATCATTGATCCTTTCCACTTGAGCCCAGGGACACAGTTGTGGAGATGGTCAGCAATGTGGCAGGGATTTAAATGTGACCAAGAATTCTTTTCTCCGAGGCTGRGGAACCCCAGAGCTGAGGAACCCCTCGACTGAGTATCTCCAAGATTGAGAAGCCAGCACTTTTCTCCACCCCAGAGAGTTCCAAGCTGTGYTCATTCCAGCTGCTTCTCCTCTGGAGAAGGGCGTTTGCCCAAGCCCTGGAGGATGTGGCCTAGGAACAATTTTCGTACATTTGTGTCCTGATTTTAGATAGATTTGACTTTTTGTAGGAGTAAAGTTACTGGGGAAGGTTTTTATTGTCAGCTCAGTAGATTAATCTCTGACACCAGAGCCTGGGTGATGAGAGTTGCTTCTCCAACTGAATTGGATTTCTGCATTAATCACGCTCGGTGCATTTCTGCGTATAAAGTGTATATAAATTTGTATGCCGAGTCTTGCACTTGGAGGCTTTGAAGGCAGAATAATAGCTTTGGAATTGAATCTTCTAATGCTGTGGGCAGATTGTTAACAAAAATGAAGGCTTCTTGTAGTATAATTCATCCAAAACAATGGGCATTTTAAAGTCCCAGAGAGATTGCAATCAACTTCGGGCCATGTAAAACTGATTGCTGTCACGCTGCCATCGACACGGAGCTGCGCGTTTGGAACGCGGCGCAGGGAGCAGGTTATAGGCACTTAACCATATGCTGATATGGAGAAAGATATTCTTCATCTTCCGGACGGAAATGGATTGTTAACTCATCACAGTGTAATGACTTACTACCAGCCAATTTAAACAAGTGGTTGCCAAGCAACCTGTAATGTATGTGTACATGTATGTGTGTATGCATGTGTGATTTAAATGTTCCTATGTTTTAAAGATATTAAATATTTATTGGTGTTTACATTTGCTCACTCACTATTTATTTTAAACATACCTTTTCATGCATCTGAGGTTTTAAGGTCATATGAATTTGAATCCTGGACCTGAAGTGTAGAGCATGGAGCACAGGTTTCTCCTGATTCTTGTCTGTGGCCATTGTGCTTCAGCTGATGAGTGATAATTCCCATGTCATAATAACTCCTGTGTCAGCTGTCTTCACATGCAAATGCACTGCCAAAGCTTTTCCACTGGTTAAATACAAAGCATCCRCTTTGTAGCTTTCCAGCAAAAGTTACGATTTCTCAAGGATGCATCAGGAGATAAAGTGTTTTTTTTACCCCCCCTGTGTAAAAGAAGATCAGAGGCTGAAGTATCCAAAAAACCCCAAGAACTGATGCAGAGGCAGGTGTGGACTCAGCCTGCAGAGGTGTTGGCATCTTGGTGGTATTGGCACCTCTGCACTGGGATGCAGGGAGCCAGCCTGCCTCGCCTGGATGGGTTTGCAGCCTGCTGTCACATCGTGTCCTGAATTGCAAACTTTTGATTCTGTTTTCTCTCCCCACAGGTACACGCTGCTTCCCAAGGGAGTTCTCCAGATAACAGGACTAAAGGCAGAAGACAGTGGGATATTTCACTGTGTTGCCACCAATATTGCAAATGTGAAGTTCAGCCGGGAGGCCCGACTCACCGTGTCAGGTTAGTGCCAGCCACACTGTCCTGGCTGCCTTTCTTCTTACCACTGCTGTCCTGCTCCAAAACAGGTTAAGAGAGCTTCAGGCTAACAGCACTGAGAGGTATTTCTCTGTGCAGCCCRTAACACATTCCTTGATCTGCATTGTTATTTGTTCCTGCCTGATCCCCTCCCGTGGGGGACATCCCAGATTCCTTGTGTAAATGGAGATTGCATCTTTGGAGGTTAATAGGCAAGTGAAGTCTGCCCAAGGATGGTTGGGTGTGTATTTCTCTCTTCAGTTTTTTCTTACATGCAGGAAAAGGTCTTTCCCATGAGCTGTGATCCTTCTGTCCATCATATACACATAATTGCTGGTACCCAGTAGCTGGAGGCTTTCCAGCATACAGCCACATCTCACAGCTTCCCATCACCCTCCAAAACACTGCCTGGCCAGTGGTTCTGGAGCAGAGACTTAACACCTGCACCAAGTGTCAGATTAGCCTCTGCTGACTGTAAAAAAGCAGCACGTGTGAAATGGGGTGAAGCTGAGGGAAGAGTAATGCTGTGTATATCAACTCTGACGGGCAAAGAAAGCAGGTTAACTGGTTTAGAAAGATCTGGGAGCTTTGGGTGCCTGTTACTTATCTGTTTGCTTGATCTGTGCGAACAGCAGCCACATGGAGGGAAAAAAGAACAGTAAATTATCAATGTGGTGACGTTCTTTGTGTCAGTTTRCTCACCTGAGTTATTATTTCTCGCAGGGCAGAAAGCTCTAGTTGTTTTCATCTGACCATCTCTCACTGCAGATGGATATTTTCCAGGTTTCCTGTCTGTGAAACATTTGTGGTTTTTTCTCTTCCTTAAAGCAGTKGGATGATGAATATGGGCACCGTGTGTAAGTGTTTGTTGAAGGGTTTGGACCATGCTTCAGTGCCTGCACATCAGCAGWGCTGCTGTAACTGGACAGTTATGTGGAAAACTCATTGTGCTGGGTTAAACCTCCACGGAAAAGGTTTATGCTCTACGGTGTTTGCTAAGAACACATAAATATCCGTTAGATCAGGACAGCAGGTGTGTGTTAGCATGTGGGCCCTGGGTTTGGCACTGCAGCAGAGGTTGTGGTGAGCCACAGAAGTTCACAGGGACATTGCTTCACTGCTGTGGGTGTTGTGTCAGTAAATACTGAGCTAACGTGAGTGCTGCTGTWCACATGGCATTAGGCACAATGGGGATAGCAGAATTCTTGCAAATTTTTGTATCACCTCCCTCTTGTGTCGGGGTGAAGGGAATGGTCTCTCTGCTCTTCACGGTGGCAGGAAGGCTCCTGCTATTCCCTGCAGGGTAGCAGCTTCAGCCAGAAGAGAARCATCAGGTCTGCCTCCCTGAGGTTTCCAAAACTGAGCCCTGGTTGGGGAGGGAGGAAGGAGAGGGTCAAGATGAGCTCTGGAAATCTGTGCCCAGCAGGAGAGGAAGAGGAGTGTGACTGCCTGTGGGGTGTGAAGGAACCTGCTCGCAGTGCTCTCCCTCCTCTCCCTGGCCGTGGCAGTGGGATTGCCAGCAGCAGCAGCGCAGAGATATCTTCCAGTCCTGCTGATTGATTATTTTCAAGTGCCTGCTCAGCGGAGCTGCTCCYGAGGGGCTGCCTGCCTCTCTGCGCTGACACCTTTCCAGTGCGAGCTGCRGCCCTCTCGGCTGCTGTCCTTTTGATCAAGATCTGGCAGGCAATGTTCCCGTCCCTGCTGGAGTGCCTGTCACTGCTGGYGGCGCTGGGGACCTCCCCATCATCACTGTGACTGCTGCTGGTGGAGTCCCTGGGGACACGGGCATCATTAGAGCCTTTTCCCCTTTCAGAATAAATCCCTGCGCTGCCCTGAACCCTGTTGAGCTCCAGCAGTACTCGCCTGCCACGARTCCCTTGTTTTGTTGCTCCTTCCTTCCTGACTCTGCATCAAAGGGCTGGTCTGTTTGAAGAAGGAAACCTCCTCCTTGACGTTGGGACATGGTCGGCCTCTTTATGTGGTGCTGGCATCTGCTTGCTGTGTCCCTGCTGTGTCYCTGTCCCTGCTGCCCCTGGAGCTGTCACTGCTGTGGGCCATAGGCTCAGCAGCAAAATGACAAGAAATATCCATGGCCTTTGCAGCAGAAGGTGAGCAGTGGTGGAAATGCCATTTCCAGAGCTGGACAGTATTTGCCCAAACTCAGGGAGCTGAATCACACTCAAAAACCTGAATATCCATGTAGGACTCAGAGTATAAATCAAAGAATGTGATTTTTAGGTATTTTATTGTCAAAATAGTCTGTTTTATGAATTCTGCTTTGAGCTTGGCTCCCGTTTGGCTGATAGTCTTGGGTGACCTTGGACAATTCATTTCATTTCTCCGTGTTTTGAGATATTGAAATYGCTATATAATATGCTGATAATACCGTATTATTCTAAGCGTGAACATTTAGTATTGTGATTCAGAACAATAAATCTACTTGGATTTTAAAGGCACTCCGAGGTACTGAGGGGAAGGTATTGTTTTTCAGATCTCTTGGGGTTAACCAGCCGGTCATATGAATTTATTGTGCATTCTGGTTCTCATCAAAAAATCTGCATTTTATGGCTTGCAGTGAAATGCGTTTAGTGAGAAAGTCAGCTCTTAAGTCACACTGACATGGTGATTTTTCTTGGATTTTGCCCATTTACACACAAGCTCAGAGTTGCTTTATCACTCCCTGCTTAGCCCCCCTAGGAACAATTAACAAACTGAGCTGCTCTGATCTGTGCTTGCCCTTGGACCACTGTGGAATCCCCCTGCTATGCCCTGATTCCAGCCCCTGAGCTGCTGTGAAAGAGTAAYACTCACAAGTGCAGGAAGAAATTGTTTTTCTTGGAGAAAAGCCCTTGTAGATACGTTTTGGGGGATCACTTCTCTTTAACAACATTGAAAAGTCCATKTAGAGGAGTCAGTGTGGGATGGTTCCTGTGGCAAAGCCCAGCCAGTGGCTGAATTCTCCAGCCCTCCCTGTGCCCCCCTTCTGCTTGAGGACAGACAACCAGCCCAAGTATTTGTCTCTGCACGTGTACAGAGCTTTTTTTTTTTTTGCCAGCAGCTGTAAGATTGATGGAATTTCTTAAACAGTGCTTGACCTCAGCATTTCTGGAGTATAACCCAGGTCTTACTGGAGACAGAGGGAAACACTAATGCAGAGATTTTCAGTGTTCCTGTTTACTGATGGAGAGTATCTCTTAGTTTTCCTCCTCTCTTGCTCCCAGCARATGGGAGTAAAGGCTGCAGGGACATTGGACCCAGGGATAAGGCAGTTTTTAGGGCCTCAGGAGATGTGGGTTCAGCTGTGGTATATGTAACACAGGGTGCTGGTTTTGTCCTGTGCTCTCATCCTCTCTAGTGAAATGTGTTTTCTTTTGCCTTTTCTGTGCCTGTCTGGTGTCCAGGTCCTTGTGCCAGGATTTCATTCTATTATGGCTCTGTGCATCCATCTTGCTCAATGGGTTTAATTTTTGGTTGCTGCCACTTGGTGCTACTGTAGTGCAAATAAAGGATTAGTAATTGTATTGTGAGCAGCAAATGTGTCACAATTGTATCAGAGCAATGGGATGCATCCTCTCCCTGCAGGAAAATGGCAGGAAAATGACCACCTTGTAGGGTGCAGTCRTCAGAGGAGTTTCCTCTCAAAAAGATCCTCAGCAGGAGTCAGGGACTGTTACCTCCATCACTCCTTGTCGCAGGACTGTTGGAGCAAGTGACACCAGCAGCAAGGGAGGATGCTCACAGAGACAGAGTTAGRCGTTGTGGACTGTATGGATTACTTAATGGCTTGAGATGCTGAAAGATAAAGAAACTSCTTAATTTATTTGCATTCCTGCTGTCTTGCATGTTGTGTTTTCCTTACATASCATGGTTTTCCTGCACATCTGCTCTTTGCAGCTCACAGTGCAGTTCCTTCTTTATGCTGCTGATAGCCAAGTGTTAACAGGGCTGTTTGTGGCTGGATCATTGGTTCAGGGGTTTTCCCCAGGAATAATCAATGCACACTTAAAACATGTTGAGTGTGACTGTCACACATTGTGCTCCTTTCGTTTCATGAACATCTCAGATTTATTGAGGGTTACACCAGCAACATCATTTAGAATCTYGGAATGGTTTGGGTTGGAAGGACCCTTAAAGGTCATCTCATTCCACCCCTGCCATGGACAGGGACACCTTCCACTAGACCAGTTTGCTCCAAGTCCTGTTCAGCCTGGTCTTAAACACTTCCAGGGATGAAATCCACTTCTCTGGGCAACCTGTGACAGGGTCTCACTGCCTGAACAGGGAAGAATTCCTTCCAAATATCTAACCTAAATTTTCCTTCTTTCAGTTTGAACCTGTTTCTCCTCCTGTCACTATGGTTCCTGATGAAAGAGGATATATACTTAGACGAGATGTACTTAGAGGATATCTCAATGTTCCCTTTAAACAAGAGGGATCAGATGCCTTTTGACGATGGTGCTGTCATTGCAGGCTCCCACTCCACGGTGTACAAGGACCCGATGATTCTCGTGGGCCCGGAGAACCTGACGCTGACCGTGCACCAGACAGCAGTGCTGGAGTGCATCGCCACCGGCAACCCCCGGCCCATCGTCTCCTGGAGCCGCCTAGGTAAGCCCTGGGGTCACTGGGGTTTCCTCCTCCTCCTCCTCTCCATAGCCATCATGTAGGAAACAGGTAGGTGCCATTGACTATTTTATACAACAACTGATTCACCCTCTCCCTTCCCACAGAAGCTAATTGTAGGCTTGAAGTGCTTTTTATCCTSGTGTCTACACTTTGTTTTTTCTCTCTGCCAAGATTCTGTTTTCAGCTGTTAAGGAAGTGGGTTGGTTAAACCTGTAGATGTTTCATGAAAGGTGATAATTTTATCTTTTCTCAAGTGACAGCATCTTCTTCTGCTGCATCAAAAACATCACCACTGTTGGCCTAGAGAAGCAAAATCATACACAAACACATCTTTCACATAAAAACAGACTTGAAAGAAATTTGCTGCCTGTTCAGGGAGTTTTAAAACAATTTTAAGGGGGAGTGAGTGTTTAAAGTAGTGTGTCTGAAGCCCTGAAAAAACAAATGCTTGCTGCTGGGGTCCGTGATGTGTTTTTAAATCAGCGTAGAAACCAGAGACAGTGTCTAATGGCATCATGCAAGCAAGGAAGAGCAAAGGACTRTGTTTCTCTAAGGTTTATTTTAGGTTCTAACTTTGTGATAATAGCTTAGAAACTGTTTTGCTCAGAGCAACACTTGCATTGCCCTACAGAAACCTAYGCTGAGTGAAGAGCTGATGGATTATGTTTCATCTCCCAGAGCCTGTAAACTCTGCCTGTGTGCACAATGGGGTTGGATTCAGTTAGGATTTCCTGAGATCTTCTGGTCCACGAGGTCACACCCTTTTTGGGATGCTCATTCCTGTGTCTCCCAAGGTGGCTGTGAAGCACAAACAGGGATAATCCTGTTTCATGCTGCTGTGCTGGATGTGGGACTCCCCCTGGCTCTCCAAGGGTCGGGGTCAGTTCATGGGCAGGGTGACTTCCTGCTCCAGAGCTGCCTGCCAGGGAATGAGGACTTGCATCCAATATCAGTTGCACAATTTTTCTACGTTTTTCCTCCTTGCATCCTCTGGTGGCTTGTAAAATCAACCCGTGTCTGCCACTAACTGGTGTTTTTGCCTCCAGAGCCATAACCATCAGATTGATGCTGTTTTAAAAATTCCCCAGATACTCTGTATCACTGGTCTGGTTCTCTTGGACACAAGGCAGCTCTATGTTAGTGCTCAACTATAATAAACTACTTTATAATTGCCTTAATTATAAGTGCTTATTACCTTCTTCAAAACACTTGTCTCTATAGAGCTGTGCAATAATGAAGATGTAATAGCACGGTGTGATGTTTGTCTGGATGGTTTGAGCTCAGCATTGCCTTCCACCAAAAATAAATACCCTCTGCTCGCTGCTTGGCAGCACAGTATCAGAATTAGAGCTACTGAATGRGAAACAGATCCTGTTATTTTCCCTCCCCTTCAGTGGGAATGTTTCCTGTCCAAAGCATCACAGGGTCTCGTTTAATATGACAGTGATCCTGACAGCGATGCAGTGCACAGGCTCTCTGATGACTCGGAGGGTTTGTCATCTCTTTGTAGCCATTTCGGAAGTGTTTTCATGTCTCCTTGGCTGTGTGATCATGAGGAGGGARAGGGGTTTATGCTGGACAGGGAGGTCCTCAGAGTTATCTGTCATCTCTGGCTTCCTCCCATGTGAAGGTCTTCTTCCTGCAGTTCCTCCTACAGAGCTGGTTTACCTTAGATTACCAGTTAATTCACTTAATTTTTATTTAGGGAAAAAAAAATACTTTTAATCCATTTGCAGATATAAAAAAATCCACGGCCAAAAATTCTTAGAGAGATGCAACTGATTTAGCTTAATTTAAACAAAAAAAAGCCAATTCTGTATGAGCATSTTTCTTGCCTGGTAGAACTAAGGAAGGGCTGTGGCATTGCTGTTGTGCTGGGGTGGGGCTTTGCACAGGGAACGTTGCCTTTTTGGAAACTCTCTCTGAACCCCTTTGATCACAGTTTTGACATTGTGGCATTTCTTCTGTCAAAAAGGAGCAAAAGAACAATTTTGCTTTCACAGCTTTCTGGTACAGGGGAAAGCAAGCCATAAACACCATTTGCAGTTCTTGCTTTGGCTTTGCTAAAACCTGGCTGGTTTTCAGTGGGAAAGGCAGCTATATTTTGCTTGAAGGAAGTCGTTCAAATTCTGGGCCAGTTTTTGAGCATCACACAATCAATTTTGAATTTAATTTCTTTGGGAATATGTTGTAGCCCCTGACCACAAACAGAATTCCTGTGTCTCACCGTGCATGAAATGTCAACATTCATTAGAGAGCAGGCTCTGAGAGAGATGTAAAATCATTAAGGGTTTGTTCAGGGAAGATAGGGCTTTTCCTTTCAGAGCTATGCACTTCAGTCTTGGACCTGTATGTGTGCACAAATGAATATCCTGGGCACTTACTGCAAAGCCTTTTGAATGAACGACGATTTTAATGTATCCTTACCCTTTAACTGACAGGCCACTGAGCTGGCCTCCATAAAAGGTACCAAAGCAGAATAATAAACTATTTAGAGAGATACAGAAAAGTGAGGCGAGAAAGAAAGGACAGTGATTATCTGATAGCGTTATACAGAAGTTGTCAGAAAGGGCTGCACAATGGGAAGGAAATTACTAAAGAGGGAGCCATTCAAGAAGTAAACTATACAACAATTGTAGGAGCCAATTAATTGGTAACTTATTGGACACAGAAGCTTGCAATAGATGGCTGACTGGTTGACAGGAGCACCGTTCCTGTAAGTGTTTAGAAATAATAGAGTAAATTTCACCACTTCACATACTGAATAGTCAACTGTTGCAATGTACTCTAAATATGCTAATCCACAGTGCCCAGTGTCCGCAGGAGCAGGAGACCCATGTGTCTARAAAGTGGAAGGCTACTATGACACAATACAAAGAATTCACAAAAGACCTAAATGATCAACATTAGAAAGTTGTTACTTTCTTTCTACTTGCTACTTACAAAAGAAAGGCGTTCGTGTTGTTGCATATTCATATCGCCTGGCACGTTTTAAGGGGGCTCCGTAATTGGTCCTGGTGTGCCAATCACTTGGTTAGCAGGCAGAGAATGGACTCCAGAAAGCATCACATACACCTTGGAAAAATAAATAAAGCGGCTCCCAAACCGCCGGCGTCTTTCATCCAGACTTCACCCCATGGGGAACTTGGAAGTACCTAAAAGGGCCTAAAGGAAGGCTAGAAAGGGACTTTTTGCAAGGGTGTGCTGTGATGGGACAAGAGAGAATGCTTTAAGCTGAAAGAGGGYAAATTTAGATTGAATATGAGGAAGAAATTCTTCCCTGTGAGRGTGGGGAGGCCCTGGCACAGGTTGCCCAAAGAAGCTGTGGCTGCCCYRTTCCTGGAAGTGTCCAAGGCCAGGTTGRTCGGAGCTTGGAGCAGCCTGGGATAGTGGAAGGTGTCCCTGGGATTGGACATGARATRGTCTTTATAGTCCCTTCTAACCCAAACCATCCTGTGATTCAGTGAAGTCTCTATTTGTCTATTGCCAGAGCATTTTTGGGAACATCTCCCTTTTGGAGAATGGTCTCCTTTATTAATTAGARGTCTATCTGCTCTTCACAACAGCTGAACCTCCTCCTTTTGTCCTCATCAACCGAGGATCAACAGAGAATCTGTCAGACATTTCCATCCAGACTGGCTTTTCAGCCCTCACATTTTCTGCTTTTGACTTCTTTAAAAGAAGTAAAAGGTCATGKTAAATGAGCAGTGGTTTCAAGCCTGCCTGGGTCCTAAGAGCTTTGGGAACTGAGCAAGTGTTGGCTTTTGCAGTCTTTCAGATTTCCTCCCTGAAGAGATGACTTTGGGGTAGCATGTGATGCCAGGAAGTTGGAGTTACAGGGCTTGGATTGCTTGATCCAAGCCACTCTTCAGGTCTCCATGTAAAGAAAACAGGGTTAAAATAAATTGCAACCTTTGCAAAGCAGGTGTGAGACATCAGTCCCTCAGCACAGCAGTTCTGCAAAGTGCTGAGCTTTCAGGATGCAAGGAATTTCTTGTGTAAACACTCTGTATTATTTATATGTGTTGTCAGTGTTACTAAGTTGGACTAGATATTAGCTGAAGACCTTCTAGCTGACTGCAGGATGGCTCAGGCTGAGTGAGGCACAGGAGAGTGAGAAGGATGGAACMGACTGGGAAAGTAGAGATGTTTCTGTAGAAGCCCTTTTCAGCTCTTTTTGGAAGGGAGGAGTTGAGTGAGAGGTTTTTGAGGTGATCTGGCACAGTGATCTTTGCTRGCTGTTAGGGGTGGGCACACTCTGAGCCACATGGGAAATCCACCGAGGTTTCTGAGCTTGWAGGGCTTTGTTCTCCGGGGAAATGAAAGATGTGTGGACAGGAGATGTTTTTCAGACCACCACACCTCTAATGGCTGGAGCTGGAGGGATAACTGAGGGCGTATCGTGCTGGTATTTGAACTGGGGGGGCACCTGCTGCAGAGTCTTTGCATGCTTAAATGAYGGAGCATGTTATAAATAATACAGTAAATCTGCTGACATTCAAGTCACCTTTCTGTGGTATTTCTCAAGGCTGTGATGTGATGAAGGATCCAGGTATGACCACTTTGCATCTTTCACTGGTCCCCTCCCTCAAGAGAGAGATTTGATTTTTAYGCCTGTTGTAAATACAGACTTCCAAAAGGTCTAATTTAAAAGAGGAAATCAAGTTCAATTTGGATTTAATTCAGACCTCTTTACACTKCAGTTCAAATGCTGTTTGGAAGGAATGACTCCTTGTTATTGCTCATTAAATGTGGGACAGGTCATGTTTTACTGTCCTTTTTATGACTGAGCCATTTATTGCTGCGGCCAGCAGTGTGATCATTTAATGACATTGTTTTTCTCTCTCTAAAAGACCTGAGCATTTTTCTTTGCAATGCAAATAATGAAGAGGTCTGGCATTTCCTGTCTAATGAAGCAAAGAAACATTTAAACTAAAATAATTCCTGGAAAACAATATTTAAAGGGCATGGCAGGAGATAGGTTTGGGAAATGCTTTGTAGCTTTCAATCCATGTTTTGCTCACGTTTCCTAGTGGGATGCTGTCCTGAATCTGAAATGGGATTCCTCACTCCTGTGGTTGTATCGGGTTTCCATCACAAGTTTTGGAAATCTGGGGGCTCTAGGGATGGCTTTAGTGAGGAGCTGGGAGCTTCCTCATACGCAATGGAGACAATGCCAGTTGGCTTCAAGACACATCCACCACTGGCAATCCACCAATATTTTTTATTGGACCCCCCACTCCTAATATTTTTTATTATGCAGAGCATGATATTACATCTAAAGCTTGTGATTGCAGGGTAACCTTTAGCTAGCCCTGCATGTTGTCTGTGTTGGAGCATGAAGCTCATGGCAGGATTATGGCACAGACTTTGGAGCACAAGACCAGACYCTCTRTGGTGGGGCACATGAGTATGGAAGTYTCATGGGATGGTCAGRTGGGGACATCACCAGGGCTGGTTYTTGCTTCCCTGGTTTCGGTGGGTTCTTTAAACTCCTCCATGTGCAAACTTGAGAGAACTGATTGCTGTCTGATGAAAGTTGCTCCCTTTGACTGTTCTCCTGTCTTGCCCCTTTGCTCAGACACTCTGACATGTGCTAGGCCTGATTTAGARCTGCCTTTGTCAGACAGTGTCTTAAAACACAAATCAATGAAACAATAGAAGGCAATAGCCTGCTACTAATGAAACATATTGCAATTAGAGCTGGCTGGGAATTTTCCCAAGAAAACAGGAAAAAAGTGAATTCCCTGATATTGAACTATTTCACATTCCTCAAATCCAGGACTTGGGATGGGGACAGCCCTTTTCAGTTGCTCTTCTAAGACAGAGTAACCGAGATTTAACCACCAGCTCAAAATCTGGCTCCTTGGCCCTGAGCTAGTGTGTGTGTTCAAGGGCTAAGGAATCAAAAGTGCAATGTTCGTGTATTTTCTGAAGCCAAAAAATCCATCAAGGGTTATCAGGTAAAGTGGTTTAACTTCTGGGTAAGGTAATCTGCAGTTCACAGATTGGTGGTGGCTGGGAAAGTGCATCAGGGGAGCACTGCAGTAGGTTGACTGGACTTCCTCCTGAAGCCTCTCCATTGGAAAWGGGTACTGAGCTGATTGGATCTGTGCTCATTCTAATGCAAGAACACAAATAATGGTTTGGAGAAACTGAGATGATTTAACTTGGTTTAACCACTTTGTTGAACTGTTCTGGGTTCTTCATCTTAATCTGAATATGTGGTTGAAAGCTTTCGCATTTCCTGTGATGGTACTTTGGTTTTTAAGCAGCACAAAGAGTGATTTTGGGCAGACATGTAAATAAAGGCCTGGCTTTCTGCAGAGGGCAGTTCTGATAAGAGCATCAGCTAAATCCCATTGACTTTACTTGGCAAATGCCAGTAGCAGACCATGGCATCACTCTGTGAGCACATAGATTGGATCCACTGAGGGCTGTGCCCTGSAGAACCTCACACAGAAGTCCAGCATGTGACTCTTGTCCTTCTCCCCTTCTTTCAGACGGCCGCCCGATTGGCGTGGAGGGGATCCAGGTGCTGGGCACAGGAAACCTGATGATCTCGGACCTCACGGTGCAGCATTCTGGYATCTACGTGTGCGCCGCCAACAAACCCGGCACACGCGTGCGCCGGACCGCGCAGGGCAGCCTGGTGGTGCAAGGTGAGCCCCTGGGACCCTGAGGGCTTGGTTTGGACAGGTGCTGACTGCACTYCTCTGGTGGTACCAGACAAAGCGCTTCTTCTCTGGATGCATGGTTTCCCAAATGGGTGGGTGTGTCTGTGTCCCATGCAGGTGAGTCACAACCAGGTGTTGTTCAATACCTGGATGGGCTGCAGTGGTTTCCCACCCCATCACAGGCATTTCTTTGTATTWGCTGACACTGGTTGTTACTTGTTATCATACTTGTGCATCTCTCCAGAAAGCCTGAATTAATCAGCCAAATTTGTCTCCTGGTCCTTAGCGATACAAGGACATGGTCACTGTTCTCATACTGGACACCCTTGAATGATAGATATCACTCCTGCACTGACATCCAGCAGTGGGTACCGCTCACRGGGTACTGTTGTCCAACTGAAATGGCACCAGTAAGACTAAAACCATTCCCAAAAAGTCTGTGAGTTTGTTTCCTGTAGCAATTGACACTGTCTGAGCCCATTGCCGTGACCTGAGTGAWGCACCCTTTGGGGGCCATGCCCATGGAATGCAGGTTGCTCCTCTTCSTGCAGCAACTGTCCTGAAATGCTACTTGTAAAGGGCAGTTCAGCCCAAAGCAGATATCAGCRCTCAGGAAACCACACAAATCCCGTCCTCATGCTCTGTGCAACCAGTCTCCATGGTGAGGGGAGCCAGGCGAGTATTTGAGAAGGCAAACCCAGCTGGCAGCGTGCTCTGAATGGCAGCAATCCGCCCCTGATTACAGGCACTCACCTCCTCTTCAAGCTAGTCCACTTAAAGCATCTTGCACTCATCAGTTCACTCATTAACTATTGACTGATGATATCCTGAATCTAAAATTACACACCTCCTGCCGGAGCCGCTAATTGAACCTTTCTGCTGCTGATGGGGAAAGTGCCCTGCTCCAGCCCTGATGTCACCTGACAGATCGCAGGAGTCGCTGGCAGTGATCCCACCAGTGGAGGAGCAATGTAAAAGGGCGTGGAAAGGGCTGCCTGTGCCTCCTGAGCCCCAAGTGCTGATCAGACATGAGACAAGGTGAAAAYCCACTATTTCTTTTGCTCTTGGATTTCTGGATGAGCAGTGCAGTGAGGGGGCCTCCCAGCTGGCACAGCTATGAGTCCTCTTATTAAGAAACATCAACCCTGGCATTAACAGCAACCTCTCTGTAGTGAYATAAACCCTTTAGAGCTGCTGCAGGACAGTTCTGCACATGGTGCATGTAGGAGAGGTCCCCTGAGCCCAAATGCCAGGCTGATGTTCAGGAGRMARGGAGGCAGAGCCAAAGCAAATTACTTGGAAAGCTTACAACTCTATGAAATTGTAAAAATACATCTGTTGAATACAGTTGACTGCTCCTGTTAGCAACTTTATGAGGGTGAAAGGTAGCACAACTCATTGCTACAGATCAGCAGTTTTTAGTCTTTTTGGAGATTTGAACATCAGCTTTYGAGCACCTGGTCTAAGTGCTGGAGTTCAGCTGCCATGGAATTACTTCAAATTTTCTTCTGGGGAGCCAAGGTAAGAATTTGTCCCYAAAATGTAACTCACAGGGCCATTGGAGCCCAGTCTTTCTGTAGAACAGAGATGCTCCTGCATTAAGTATCAGCAAAGAAGTTGGCAGTGGTGTGGAGAAGTGTGGTCAGTGGGTCCTTAGCGTAGTCTTCAGACAGGACCTGCAGTGTCCAGGACCCCAGCTTGTATTGCACATCCTTRAAATACCCAGGGTTTTTTGGGAGATGTTGTTCCCCGAGCAGGATAATGGCAGTCTCTGGCCAGGCAGCCAAGCTCATCCCATGTTTGCTCACCCTCCCTCTGGAAGAGGTTTTTCCTGCCTCTGCATCTCATTTTGCCTGAATTTTCCAGCTGAGAGGTACAAATGATTGCTGTTCAGGTTGTCTGGGAAGAAAACAGCGATAATGACTGACATGGGAGACTGTGGGTTTTATCTTTGTCAAGATGTCAGCGATGCAAATTACATCCGTAAAGAGAAGAAAAGCAAAGAGCGGGCTATCAAAAGCCTGGTTGGAGAGGAAGTTAGCACAGGGCTAGGACAATACAGCATCCTCAAAGCACACCAGGCCAGGTACTTGCTGCCTTTATGCAGGGCCCTTGAAGTGCCTGGAGGCACAAATTAACTTGCCCCACTTGTCTTTTGAAGGAGCCACGTTTATAGGTGGGAAACTGGAGGAGAAAGGACGATGTTTCCTGTTGTAAGGCAGGGAGTTTGCAGGAGGCTGGAACTGAGACCACRTCCTCCCTCCTGCTGCCAGAAGTGGTCCTTGTCCCATCCAGCAGCTGCGTGGACAGAGGTGTCCCAAGACAGGTCTCTGCTCTTCTTTCAGCAGTAATGTCCTTTCCCACTGCAGGTTATCTTTAAGATAATCTAACGGCATCTTATTAATCTTCCTGGGAATTCCTCCTCCCTCCAGAGGAGAAGGCATCAATCCCCCGCTCCTTTCCTCCYCTGCCCTCCCCTGGCCATTTAGGCTCCTTTGATCTCTTTTGTAAGGTTCTCACACAAGAAAGTTTCCATTTTCCCTTCAGATCTCGGCGCAGCCATTTGAATATTGCTTTGTGCTGGGCTTCGAATGAAAGTCTCACGGGGGGAGTTGTTGAAGGGCCGAATGCGGCGCCGATTGAAACTGAGGGTGTGCGTGTGTGTGAGGCAAGGGAAGAGCAGGCTTCGGTAGCAAGGAAAAGAAATATATCAAAGCACTTTCCCTCTACCTCCTGTGCAATCTTTTGTGCTTTATTATGTGTTTGGTGTCATAACAAACTGATGGGCTGTGAATGGCCAGATGGTCACCAGTGTTCTCCACTCCACGCTTCATTTCCTCCTGAAAGCTATGCAGAAAAATGAGATCCCATCTCATAAATGAGGGCCCATCTTAAGGACATGGGTTTGAAGGCTCTGCTGACAATGACTGCCTTGTTTGCCTTGCTCTCTGTTGGCAGGACTGGGCAGCACTCCTTGGTCCAGCAGATCCGGCCACCGCTGCGCTTCCTGATGTTTCTTCCATCATTCTTGCTCGCTGGCATCACAAGCCTTGGCTGCGGGGTGGAATTCAGTAGCAGATGTATTGCAGTTGCTGTGGTTTAGGCTTGGCTCTGTGGTACTTGGTTTGTCCTTGAGTTTAGCCCTGAATTCATTCTGCAAGCCAGCTTCAATACGTGCTGTGTGAGTCAGTGTCCCCCATGGAGCATTTCCCTTCCTGTCCACATTTTTCTTCTGAAGAAAAGCCGCCACACAGGGACAGGTGGGCACTCAAATCTTGTCCATGGGGATGCTGAAGTGAGCTGGGGTGTCTGATCCCTCTGGAGCATTCTTGGAGCACCAAACTTGTAGGTGACCTGGGAACATATCCCACTGCTGTGGAGCTCCAGCCTGCATCTTGCTGGGACAAGAATTTCATGAGGGATAAAGGACGGGCTTCATGACAGCCCCCTTGAGTGTTCTCTGTCTATTTTCCAGGGGACGTGGGCAGAGGTTCCAAATTTGGCCCTTGCAGTCCCATCACTGCTACTTTAAGTAACTCACATAAACATCTATTCCTCTGTAGTGAATAGAGAGAAGCCAAGTGAGCAGCAGTTGTCTTAAATTTCCTGTCACTGTTTGCTGTGCTTGACTGACTTCCCTGCTGACCTGGCTACTCCTTTATACCCTTATTGTGGGTGCTAGTAGCCTAATTTATGACATTTTATTGTTTCCATGTTATTCTTCCTTCTCTTCACCCCAGCCTCCCTCTCTGACCCTGCCACTGTRTCCATTTGAGAATTAATGACACTTCATATTGAGAAGCAAGGGGCCTGGATTGGTCTGGCACGGGAGCACTGGCTGTCAGTGTTCCCTTATCCTTGGGATCTCCTCGGTGACCTGTCTGTGCTCCCTGATCCTTGGGACCTTCTGTGAGCCATTAGGCACTGCCATGAGCCCCATGGCAAGGACAGAGGAGCTCCCTGGTGTCCTGGGGGACAYACTGGTGGCTGGCCCCTGCTGACGTGTTCCCAAAGAGATGGAGCCCATCTGGGTCTCCTGTTAGAACCTGCTGTTGCAGTGCATCTCCATGCTATCACAGTTTGCTGAGCACAGTAAAAGCTATTGAATCACTTCGTTAACGATTCTGGGGGTGGTATTAAGTGTTATTGCTTTTTGATACCAATGTCATGCCTTTAAATATTCATTAAAACTGCATGATCCCCTCCYTCCCATTAAGTCCTGAATAATCAACGCTCTGGTTTCTTCATACTTCACAAGCCAGGGCTAGATCCTGCCCACTTCTCCTTGCCAGGTTTGAATCCTCTGCTCTTAACAGTGATCTCCATTAATATCTTTWTTAAAATCTTAATGGAGGGCTGAGAAACGCTTCCTGTGGCTGCCTGCAATGGCCTTTTGGCATGTAGTGTGGAAGGGGCAGAGTTGTTCATGCCACTGTGCCTCCATGCAGGGTGGGATGAGCCCTGACAAGATGCTCTATTAATTATGAGTGATGAGGAGGGTGAAGAGCTGGCACCGGGCAGGGCTTGGCTGAAAGCAGGGCTGGCAGCAGGCTAGGCTGGCTTCTGTTCCTTTCCCACTAATCCAGGCAAACTCTTGGATCCTTTCAAAATCCTTTGGAAGGGCAGGGGAGAGGACCTGGGAGAGAAGGGGAGAGATTTTTCTGCCCAGGAAAGGAGCCATTTGCCTTGAGACCACTCAGCAGCAGTTGCCTGAGGGCGCTTTCCTTGGGGCACTGGTTGTGAGCACACAGTCCTGGTCCAGGTAGCAGAGGGGCACCTACCCAGTCCGTGTCCTTTAAACTCCAGCTGTTCCCAAACCATGTCCTTTTGGCTCCATGGGTTTCTGTTTTGACCTGGGCCATTGTGGTGCTGCAGCTTCACACTGTTGAGACCTGAACAGGACAGAGCAATGCCTGGGGAAAGCCAGGAAGAGCAGGAACAGTGGAAGGGCTCCTGTGTCTTGCAGCATGGGATGCCATGGAACGGGGGACAGCTTGGCACAGCAGAGTTGGGATTCTGCTCCCCAGAGGGTTTAAACAAGTTAAGCAGCAACTGGGGTTTTGATCTGGTTGTGTTTAGCAAGACAGCAAAGAGGAGGGATGGCAGAGGGGAGCAGGGACACAAGGAACCCGCGGGGCCATGGCACTGAGCAGTGTCACTGGCCCTGAGCCAGCGGCCGCAGCTGCACGTTCGYTACCCCGAGTCACACGCGACACCGCTCCAATTACTCCCTCTTGACACGGGCTAATAAGGGAGGATAAGGAGAGCCGGCGCTTCCAGAAGGGTTATGCCGGATGCTTCTTTCCATATTTCAACTTTGTTTCTRCTGGAACAAATGGTGGGTTTGAGATTTGATGAAGCGAGGGGGAGGCAGAGGCAAAGAGCCAAGAGGATCTTTAATGAAGCTGCAGCGAGGAGCTGGAAGGTGGCTGTGCCCTTCCTTGGCATCRCGGGTTTGCACCTGCGAGTGCTGCGGGTGCAGCTTGGGAGCCCAGATGAAAGCAGGGAGGTGCACAGCCACTTGCAGAATAATTGCTCCTGCAAAACCGCGCCAGCACAAAGCAGGGGGCGGGAGGCTGAGGAAAATCAAGTCTGTAATGCTCTCACTGTACACCACAAAGGGGCCATTCACGGCAGGGAAGAGGGGTTTTCCCCCTGTTTATCCTTGCTTCCAACTTTTATTGAACCCATCTTGAATTTTATTTTAATCTGTAAGTCTAGAGCAAAAACATAGAAGGGAAGTAAAAGGACAAGAGATTGATTGGCACATGGGGAAGTTTAGCTGGAGGTTCTGGAAGTCTGTGTCCATTGGGTTGCTGAGATCAGGTTCATTAGTGGAGTCGAGTGCTGACAGCAGTGGCCTGACAATAAACTCTGCTGGCAGATACCCCGTACCAGGAACATAAGTCAGACCTGCCATGCTCCACTTCCCTCTGATTATTAAAAATGGAGGAGGGGGCTCCTTTGAGGGGGACAGGCTCTRTGATGAATTTCTCTGTCTTCCTGCTTGGAGGACTTAGAATCTGCACAACYGGACTTTCACACAAGCACCTCTCCCTGCAGTTTGGCTGTGTTACAGCAGAAGCCATGCTCTTCCCCTACCTGCACACAGYTGGGGAAGAGCTTTATTCCCCTGAAATTCTGCAGCAAACCCCAAGAGGTATTTTGGCCACGAACCACAAGGCTCAGCTCTTGCATCCCACCTGCAGCCTGGCCACTCCTCAGTATATTTTTCTGGACCAGTTTGCTCCCTTCTCCAATCCCTTCATCCCCGCTGGGGGCAGAGCCCAGCAACCCCATGCTTGGAAAATGCCTGTGAGTGGCTCTGAACATGTCTCCCTAGATAATCTTGCTTTTGTCAAAAAAATTTAACGTCAGCCATCCGTTACGTGATGTTAGTCAGTAAATTTATTATGGGCCTGTGYCTCTTATCTGTTTGTCTTCATTGTGTCTGCTGCCGGTTCCACCTGATTTTAGGTTTCAGTAGCAACATGGAGTATATTTATCACTTTGCCCTTTGAAGCAGAMCTGCTTGAATAATCTCACCTCTCTGGCAGTGTGTGTCAGGCCCTGCTTTCTCTAGGCTGATACGCTGGTTTATTCTGATAAATGATTTTAAATCTAATTTGAGCTGCTGGAAGGAGGAAATCACTTTCTGTTTAAAAATGTTATTGTCAAAGGTGAAAACATTTGGTGACAAGGTAAGCAGCAGTCACAGGCATGGTGTACTCTTCTGCCAGGCTTGGCAGGACCCCAAGGGTCCCAGGCTGAAGATATGGGGTAAAAAATGTTCCCCAGTAACTTGCTGACAAGAAAAATTGGCAGCAAATTTGATATTTACTGGGGAGAGAACACCCTGCTAGATTGCTGTATGATATCTATACATTTCCTTCCATKTCACACAGTTTGCTAATGCCATTCAGGTCCTTTGGACAAAGGCAGGGTTTTGCTCSAGCTCTACCATTGAGGAAGCATCACATCTCCCCAGCTGCAGCACTGGGGTTGCTTTCCATGGGAGACCATGGAGAGGTGAAGGGGYTTAAACCTTTGCCTGAACCCTGCAGGACCTAGTTCAGCTTTCCATCACTTCTGAGCTRGYTTTCAGGAGCCTCCTGTGAAGCCGWGACTGCYCGGGTGGGCAACCAAAAGGCAGCATTGCATTGTTTACAGACACACCATCCAAACCAGAGTTACCTGCTGCCTGTGCTGTGGGTTGGCCCAGTGTCCCATGTTCCCAGGCAGACAAGGCTTTTTGACGAGGTGGGCTTTTGTACCAGGATAAAGGGGTATCATCGTGACTTTTCTCACCCTCTTTCTCCTTCCTTCTCTCAGCACCAGCAGAGTTTGTGCAGCATCCCCAGTCCATTTCCAGACCCGTGGGGACTACTGCCATCTTCACGTGCGTGGCCCAAGGGGAACCCCCTCCCCAGATCACTTGGCTGAGGAACGGGCAGATCCTGGAGACAAGCGACCACATCAAGCTGAAGAATAACAACAGGTAAGYCCTGATGCTCTGGGCTCTGGCACTGTCATGGAAAGAGGAGTGGGAGAGATGTTGGATTGCTGATGTGAAGGTGGCAGTGTTCTGAAGCAGATCTGTGGATTCAGCTTCGATAAACTAAATCACTGCTTCAGTCCTGCTGGCTGTGCCTCAGTCTTACATTTTGGTGGTTCATGATTTTCTTGTGCAGGACATCAACATCAGATTTGGACTGTTGATGCAGGAACCCAAGAAAAGTTTCTCTTTTGTTCTGATCATCATCTGGGTATTCCTGGAAGGAGTAAATGTTGTTCCTGGAGCTGACAGGGACCACATTCACTCTTCAGCAGAGAAACTGTGCTTTCACTCATGAACATTGACCTGCCTGGGTGTGCAAATGTAAATACATTAGAAATAATATTTGCGTGGAACCTGACTTCCACTAAACTTTAGCCTTTTATCTCACCAGGGAAGAGTGTGTTCTCTGAGTACTAAATAACTGCATTTTCCTGAGGGGATGGGGATGTTTGTACTGAGAAAATGATGTACTTGGTGAAAATTACCAGTCAACAACGTAGTTTCTATGGAAATAGGATGAAAAAATATACTACAAAATAATAGCACCTGTGTTGTGAAYCTGAAGTATTGGTAGTTTGTACTCTGTGGTGTCATACAGCTGCTCTCTCTATTAGCAAATGTCTCAGGAAAGCAAAGACCCAGTCTTGCTGGGGGATCAGGACCTTTGGTTTAGACTGTTGGGAAGTGCTGTGCATCATGGTTTGTTCCTCAGGGGAGAAGAGTGAGTTTATTTTTTTAAGTGTCTGTATAATGTGGCTTTTTGTTTTCTGGTTTGAGGGGCTCTTAAAGCCCCTCAAAGTGATGGAAGGATGAGTGATGCAAGAAGGACAAGGTGTGAGTGGTAATAAAACCATCTCAATCAGTAGAGGTTTTCTCCAAGTTGGAAGGTTTTTAGAGCTTCAGGAAACTTTGTATGTGCACGTACAGATGACAGTTCAGGCTTGTGGTCTTCTAGTTCATGGCATGGATTTCTGAGGCATGTCTGCCCTTAATGGTATGAGTAGAACACAAGGGATAGGAGGGAAATTAGTGCATCCCCTGTTATTGATGAGGAAGTGATGAAGTCCAAGTGGTCATTAAATCCATGACAAAATGACACTGAATCCAGCTCTGTGTCTCACCCAGGTGTCTTCCCTGTGAAATCATTCCTCTTCACTCTTTGAGCAGAGCAGGAGTCAGGTCTTTGGTCATGGTCAGGTCTTCTGGCCAGGTCCCTGTGCCTGGAGCTGTGCTACCCATGCACGTGAACTGCGACTTGGTGAACATCGCTATAATAATCGTTTTCTTATGGGAATCATTTAATGCAATTTAGCATCAGTCTTTTCCGTGGTGAGCTGAATGATCAGATTACAGCATCTGGCATAGGCTGAGGGAGCTTAGCCCATTCCTGGGGCTCAGCTGACACGTGGCATCTTCTCAAGCTATAGTAACACGATTGTAAAGCTGAGCCCTCAGGCCSTCGTACTCGACAGTGTTGAACTTTTGTCTTCTTTCACACTGGTCTTGGTCTGCTCCCACCTCCAGCTCCAGGCAAGTGGCCATGCCTGGTGGTTTTTAAATTGTCAGTCTGGAAAATGCTCTCACTGGTGCAGCAAGGCTGGGAGCTTCATGAAGTGGAGGAGACACATCAACGGATGATTTTTTCCTGAGCTTTTCCAAGTTTGCCCTTTGTTTTAGTCTCATGGGCATGACTAAGTGCTGTAACCCATTTAGTTCCAGGCAGAATCAGTTTGTGGTTATGTCTTGGATTTATCAGTCTATTGCACTYGGAAAATATTTGTCTGTGTAAAGATGGATCTTGAATCTACTAGTAATGAAGCTACTAAACTGCACTATGAGCTTTTTAATTAGATTACATKGTTTCCCAGAAAATTCATTTGGATTAAAACTCTGCTTAATATTGCCATAGAGGTCTGAATGCCCCCTAAGGGATATTTAGGAAAAAAGGGAGTAAATCATCCCAAAACATATCACGTGCTAATTGATTGCAAAATGTGTCATTAGGAGCAACTTCATTTTTGTAAATTCACACAGCCAAAAGTGAGGTCCAGACCTGCAGAAGATGGTGTGTTCAAGATGCTGCTCTGCTCCTGCAGGCTTGAGGCCTGGTGGGTAGCAGCACAAACCCATCACCAAGGGATCCATTGGACTGTTGCTTCCCAAAGTTGTGAAGGGCCCTTTTACATCTACCTCACCCCACACAGTCTCTCATACACTATAACTGCAAATACAAGGAGAGCAAATCCCACAGGTGAGAGGACTCCAGAAGTCCTTCATTGCTGGGATGCAGCTTCAGGACTGGATTCACTGGAGATTGGATGTGGCTGATACAACATCAGACATTCACTTGCTAAGCAACTTCCAGGCTTTCAGCTCAGTAAAATCATCCTCACAGGCTGCATCCAATAAATATCTCATCCCTCGTGGCCCCTCAGATGTGAATTCCCATCACCTGATGTGTTGACGGTTTCTGGGCACATTAGCATTAAAGATCAGCCTTCTGCTGTGCCCTCTCCAGAGGTGGTTGTTATGTTTTGAAAATGCCAGCTGTGTGGGAACAAAATAGCCAATCGATGATTAGCAAAAAATCAAAAGCAGTTCTGGGATAGCGGATAATTGTTAATGAAAAATGCATGAAGGCTCAGGCATAGGGAATTGTGGGCTTTTCCATTAAAAGCTGTGAATATAAATGACTGAAGGAGCTGACGATGGGGCTGCTTTGCCATGCAGCCCCTGGGCTGGGGATGCAGCTGATTGCTGTCGGGGTGATGCTGCGCTGAGCCAAGCTCTCCGAGGGAGCTGGACTTTGGTGGAGCCATCCCTGTGGCCAGGGATGCAGGGGTTGTCCCTCTGTGCTGATCACAGATGCCCATGTTGCTCCTGGAGTGATTCAGATCGATGATGGTCCAAATGCCTGAGAGGTATAAGGGGAATTTCTAGCAAAATTCCCACCCAGCATCACCAGCTCATCCCAAAAGCAGGAATATTTCTGCAGGAGGAAGGTGTGGTCACTGGCCAAGTTAACGTGGGCTTGTGTAAAATTATGTTTCTAGGTTATTGCTTCAAAATTTACAAGGAAGCATGAAATAGTCCCCAAATTACCACTCTGAAAGGTTTACTGCTTTTCTTCCTTTGAGCCAATCAGGTTCAGGGGGGTAATTTTCAGCCGGGAAGTGTATCATACTGTGGGGTTTATATTGCCATAATAGCAAGGGACAAAGGCCAACATCTTCAGAGAAGGCAGGCTCTAAATATTGATTTTCCAAGAAGATTTTATTTACGAATTGTAATTAAGGGACTTCATTTGTTCCACCGGAAAAAAAGGCTTTGTTAGAATTTGGGCTCAGGTGGCATTCACTGTCCTTGGTGACCTTTGCTTGTGAACTGCCCCCTTCTTAAATTCTTCCTCACTGGTTTGCACTTGGTTTAGTGCTCTGSAAATGTCTCACTTCCAGGGCCATGAATGTGCAAGGTTCATCAGGGGAAATATTCCTTTGTAAATAAACATCGGGACAGCTTTGCTCTTCTTGCACTTCTCATGCTGTTAAATCTGAGTGCAGATACAGAGAGAGGCTTTCAAGCACAAACATCCAAGCACTTGGGACCAGACAGCCCTTTTGTAGCAAACCAAGGGAAATCAGAGCTTGTCATTCACAGGGTGGATTTTTCTATAAACCGTACATTGTCTGGGTGTGGAGAGGTGCAGATGGGTTTGTGCATCCCTTCAGGGTGCACTCTCCCCATAAACACTTAAATTTGTAGGGATTTGGACCACATAAGGGAGGACAGGCGAGCCGGCAGTTCTTTATGCTGTGAGTTTGAAGACGTTTGTGATTGAGGGAAGGGTGCTCTATACCAAATCATATTTCAGTTCCCAGAAGCATGACAAATAAGTATGTGGAGGATGGGGATGTGAACCAGCTGCTCCTGATTKAAGCATAATTTATGGGTTTGACTTTGGAAGACACATGGAAATGGCCTTTGCAAGGAGGATCTCTGCACAAGCGCCCAAAGCCTCGCTAAGCAGTGGGGAATCAGCATGATCCCTGCACCAAGCAGGGATCCTCTTCTGGGATCACACAGCTGTATCCCACAAAAACGACCTACAGCAGCCCTGGATCAGCCAACAGCARCAGGCATCAGTCTCTCCTTCTCATGTGGCTGCGATTATTTTGCTACCAAGTTGCCTGTGTAATTTYTCTGTGTGCTGGTCCACTGAGCTGCTCTCGAAGTGCATTGAGTCAGGAGTTTAAGTGTTTGTTCCAACTGTTGCACACAGCAAAATCCATCAGCAGAGAATGGTCCTTACACAGGAGGCTTCTRGACAGGACTGAGCCCATAGTGGTGCAGCCTAAAATTAATCTCCCCTGAATTAGCCTGAGTCTTTTCCTCTCCAATATCTTGGCCATCAGCCAAGAAGTGGACCATTCAGTGCTGCTCAGCACTACAGGCCACGGCAAACAGAGCCAGAGCAGGGATGGGGCATCTGAATGTGGCACTGGTGGCTTTCTGTATGTGCCGGCACTCAGAACGCTGTCCCTGCTAGCCACAGTCTGCTCTCTGCATTAATTTCATCACACTCCCTCCTTTGTGCGCCTGTGCACACAGGCCAGTGCCCTCCCAGATGGGCCCCTCTTCTTTGTGCTGCTGAATCGATGAAGAGGCTTCCTTCAGTTCRCAGACTTTTTCAGAGGAGCCTTTGGAAAGCCGATCTCCGGTCACCGGCCTGGACCCCTGACCCCAGCCAGATCAGTCATCCTGATTGCCTATGAACCGGGAAGACAGCTTGGGAATACTGCGGCTTTCGAGCAGCGGAGGCCTCTCGTTTCAGCTCAGCCGGGTGTGAATCTGCAGCAGCTCCTCTCCCCACTTCCATCAATGCCTGTCAGGGCATTGTGTGGAGATGTGATGGAGCCCTCGGCTCGCCGAGCGGCTCTGGTGACCAGCAGAAAGCCTTCTGGCATCTCGCCTCGTCTGACGTGCTCGCGGCGCTGCCAGTCTGGCACTCGCGGGAAAGTTTTCCAGCAGCAGATGTCCCAAAGTGACAGATTTTTTCATGTTGACGGGAAGAAATAAAAGGACACTGCATATTTCAGATGGTTGATGCATGGAGACRCTCTGTGCCTTCTTGCACAGCAACTACAGATTTTCCTTTTGTTTGAGCTTTCTTAAAAAAAAGGAAACAGACACAAAGCAGCAAAACCTGAGGACTGAACAGTGTCCCTGCTGCATCACATCCTCCACATGCTGGGAGGTGGTGCTGTGGGTGAAGACAGGAAGAATTTGTCCATAGTTAAGGTGAAAATGGGTGCACAGCAGAGATACCAGCTGGGGTGATGCTGGGGTTCGTGTAACTCACTGCCAGCTCCTGCCCTGCTCGTGGCAGCTGCCAGTAGTGTCCAAATTTACACTGGGACTTGCAGGGACCCTCCTTTGGAGATTGCTGGGGGTGTCAGAGGGACCCATCAAGAGAGGAAACCTTTTTTTCTCATGAAACTGGTGTTTAGCTGCTGGACATTCTGCTCCCCAGCTTGTCCATGCTCTCACAGCCATAAATCCAGCTGTTTTACTGTCCCATTGCCAGTGTGTCATTCCAGGTAACATGGGCTCCAGGTGGCTAAGGCACTCATTGCACAGCACATCCAAACATAACCAAGGAAACYTCAATGAAAATAAACTTTTTGAAGCCTGAAGCAAGTTTCCAGCTATGTGCCATGTCAACTGTGCAGAAAATATTGTATTTATTTCTTTTAATTTGACTGTGCATGACAGAGACTCTGCTCAGCTCCAGGTTCCACTGGCCATCCTTCCAGGACCACCTGTGTCCCACATGAGGAGCTTTGCTCACCCCCAAATCCRGTCACCAGGAGAGAGTTTTGTCCCCAGAATCACACCACTGCTATCAGGCTCCTTGCACTGCTTTTCAGCCTGGCTCCCCTCTTTCCTTCTCCACATCTTTTCCTCTTTCTATGCAAAGCAAATAAATGCACCTGGAGGCAGTGGAGCCTRAGCCTGCTCCTGATCTGCTTTGTGCTTGGGAAGCCTAACACAGCTCTTAACCCATGTGTCAGCCTGGCCTGGCYGCTCTGGGTGCCCAGATGCACAGCAGCCACATGGAAATAATCCCTGCATTGATGGGGCAGAAGGAAGTGCTGCTGCTCCTTCCACACATCTGCTTTGTGCAGGGCTGGGAGTGCAGCTCTCGGATGGTGTAATCCTGCCTTCTGCCATCTGTCCTCACAGGAGTCAGCCCTTGTTGACACAGCTGAGCCACACATCGGGGCCTTCCTCCCCGCGCCCTCTCCCAGCTCTGCCTTTCTCCTTCCATTTAATCAGATACGTTGAGCCCGTGGCTATGAGAGGAGCTTAGGGCTGATTCTCGAAAATCACCATATCAGCTGAAACCATCACATTTGATATTCCATTTACAATGTTTCCAAGGAAACAAAGGCACAGGACATAAATAGATGACTGTTAAACATTTGCTCACTCACCATGGCCCCCGATAATTTGCAAGGCAGAAATAGGAATGTTAAATTAACAGCAATAATAAATTTTAATATAGGAAGRCCAATATTTTGCTGCAATTAGAAGAAGCATTTTTTTTTCTGACATACAGGCAGGCAGTGGCAGGTTATTTATCATTTCCACTTCCAATGYTCAATTTTTCATTTACATAAAAGGCAGCTTTGATTGTGATTCCCAAAAAGCCGTGAAGTGCCCCYTGCATCAGGCAGGGATGCTTGGGAATTACTCATGTGTGGTCAAATTCCAGGTCCACCTGGAATTCACGGCAGGAGAGGAAAATAATGTATTTCTCCTTAGAAACAAGTAAGGGATGTGGATTTGGTTAGGTTTGGGTCATTTTCTACAGAAAAGTAGGAAAAAAGCTCATGTGAGCTTCTGAAGTTTTCCCCAAGATGAACAGATTTTACCATAACCTGACCTGCTGCCTCAGAGTTGGGTAAAAAAACATCTCCAGCATCAAATCTGCCTTTCCAGTTCCAGCTCAGAGCTGGGCACACTGGTGACAGTGYCCACCCCATGCCTTGGAAAGGAGACACACTGGGTATTTATTTATTTAGGAGACTTCGTGTCTGATGGATTCATGTATTGAATTGTGTTGTTTCTGGTAYGGCTTTGAGTGGAGCTTTCATTGATGGGTCCCTGTTTATAAAGCAGATGCTTTTAAGAAAAGCTGCTTTGCGTGTTCAAATGGCAAGACAGCTAGTATGTCACACAGTTATTTCTGAGTCAGTATTTTCTGGTGTTGTTTTAAAGATACTGTGTGGTACAACATTTGAGCTGGCCCTGAACTTGCTCCACTTGTCCACAGCCATTGCTGGAGGGTCCTGCAGTGCAGAAAGGGCCTCCAGTTTATGTGGCCACATGTACAAGGATTCTGGTTGTCCCTGTGCAGAGATGGGCACTGTGCTCAGGAACATACTTGATTGGGAGGCTGGTACACAATTGGTTTTTCCCCCTTCTTTAGGGATGTTTTCCAGGGCAGCCAGTGCCTGTCTTCTATTAGATGGTGAAAACAGCATCTAAGCCTGATGTGGAAACCCCCAAGAGCAGGCTGGAAGAACTGTTCTGGTTGTTTCCCTGGGAGGCAGCAAGCTTTGATGTACCAGCATCAAAAATACACTCAGGACTTTCAGACAAAACCTGTGACGTGCTCATAAACTTTGGCTTGTGACTTGCTCATAAACTTTGGCTTTTGGCTCATAGTGATGGTGTTTCTGGAAGTGCAGAAGCAGGAGCTGAGGCTGTAAGCCTGCTGGATAAATCAGCTAATCCCASAGTTACCCTAAGACAGCTCTAATGTGCTATAATGCAATTAGAGCATCACCAGAGGGCTTTCTGGCTGCTTTTGATTAGACTTGGCTTGGAAACTGTGTGCGGTGCCTGGATGGGTCTCACTGGTGTGTACTGGAGCTGAGCCAGTTAAAACTGTTTTGGGTGTGTGGATGCACTTGTCATTGAGCTGGCTCTGTGGTGTGGCTGGGATCTTCCTGCAYCCACACCTTTAGGTCCTGCTGGTCCCTGTCCCACCCTGTGCATCTTGAACCACAGTGTCTGTAGGCTGAGACAGATAATCTGCCCAGTCACAGCTTCCAGGACTGGGCAGACTGCTGGACTTGTCGTTCCCCAAAAGCATGAGCCCATGGCTTCCTGGAAGTTTTCTATGGAAATAAAGGCCGTGAGATGCCCTGCAATGGGAGCCAGCATGGGGACCATGGCACTCAGTGTGATCATTGTCCCTCTCGTGTCCCCACACAGCACTCTCTCCATCTACGGGATCAACCAGGCGGATGAAGCCATCTACCAGTGCCTGGCCGAGAACAGCGCGGGCTCCACGCAGGCCAGCGCCCGCCTCACCGTGCTGTGGGCAGATGGGCTGCCCAGCCCTCCTCAGGGCGTGAGGGCAGAGACTGTCTCTGCAACCACCATCCAGGTGTCCTGGGAAAAGCCCCTGCAGAACACCAAGGAGATCATTGGCTACGTCCTGCACATCAGGAAAGCCGCAGGTATGGTGCTACACCCACTGCCCAGAGCACCCTCGGCCTTCCTGTAGTTCATCAACACGGCCCACGAGGTAAAACCAGGTCTGCACTGCAGTGGTCTGTGCTGCCATCAGGGTTCTCCATACCTCCCAGCTTCTGAAGGGCAGAGATGAGCCTGTGAATACACTGTAAATACCTGCAAATACTAAATATACCACTGTGAGTACCAAAAGGGTGGGGTGGGTGAAGCTGCATAATCAAATCTTGCTGCCCACACAGAGCTCTGGCAAAGCACACAGAAATCACAGAGAATGGTTTGGGTTGGAAGGGGTCTCAAGGATCATCCAGTTGCAACCCCTGCCACAGGCAGGAATACCTTCCACTAGACCAGGTTGCTCAAAGCCTGTCCAACCTGGCCTTGAAATGTAAGCAGAAATGTGTGTGAGCAAGTACATATCCACCCCAGGGACCAAATTACTGCTTGCAACATCTATTTATTCTCTTTACATCTTGCAAAGCATAACGCTGCTCTGTTCTGTCTCCCTTTGCATTTCAGATCCYGTAGAGATGGAGTACCAGGAGGCTGTTAGCAAGAGCACCTTCCAGCAGCTGGTGACTGATCTGGAGCCCTCGACCAGCTACAGCTTTTATATAAAGGCTTAYACCTCCCGGGGTGCCAGCAAAGCCTCAGAAGTGACGGTGGTGAGCACGCTGGGGGAAGGTAAGGAWTGCTTTGTGCAGGGCCCCTCAGATGCTGACGCCCACTGTGTGTAGCACAATCACCCCGRCACCGCCCCGCAGCGCTGTGGCACCGTAGCCTGTGGGGTTGATGCTCCTTGTTCCTGCTGCTCCTCATACTCTGGGATATTGTGTAAAACTCACTTGTATCGTTGCAGGGGGGTTGACTGATTAAACGCAGCATCGCCTCTCCCAGCTGATGTTGTAGCAGGGGGTGAGTGCAAACCTGCCKGGTCTCGTGCATTGCAGCTGCTCTGGGCTGTTCCTAAACTCCTTGCTAAATGCAGACTTCCTGCTCAAGCAGCATCTCAGCATCTTCCAGCAGCTCTGGTACTCACAGCTCGTACTTGATAGGTGCCACACTTTCTAAGATTTTATTATTTTCTGCTCTATCCTGGCCAAATCACACTAGAGCTGAGCTGTCCTGACCCACAAATCCCCGCCTTGGAGCAGCTTTCTGTTTCACTGAGAAGTCAGGGTGATCTCCAAGGCTTATTTTTCTTGACTAGGCCACTAGTTAGCTTCCCCAGTAAGAAAGTGGGTGCTTTAATCCAGGACCCTTGTACACAAACATGAGGCAGAAACCACAGTGTGATCTGTCAGTCAGAATTGGAAGAATGTTTTCCCAGAGAATCATCTGTCTCCAAATTCTGGCTTGTCTCAGATATGGAGACCAATTTCGTAGGAATCATTCTCATGAACATTCAATAATTATGAATTTCCAGTGGAAAGGGCCTTGGATGTGAGGATRTTATTTAGGATCAAATGAAAAAGTGTGTTCACTTGCAGGTGGGGAATCCARTTCTCATTCTGTTCGCAGCCCTTGCAGTTTTTTATTACAGAATTTAAGCAAAAACACCAGTAAATCCTCGCCCTGCTGGATTTTTGCCCTGCCRGTTTATTTTCCTTGGTACTCTGCAGGGAATCAGTCACCCTTGGAGTTTGTTTTTCCTTCCAATTTAGAGACAGAAGGATGGGCTAAGGCAAAGCTTGAAACTCCCTGACCCGATACTCCGAGTTCAGCCCCAGGGGCTACAAGCCAGCCATGCTCCATAGAGCTTGGTGACTCTGCAGAAGTCCAGGTCAAGTGAGAGAGGACTTTTTGTCATTATTACCTTCAATCATGACAGGAATAGTTAGATATCTGSTAATGGGATCATAAATTTCCTCTCTCTGAAGTTTTAAGGCATCACTGTCCTGCTCTGCTATCCTTTAAAAAAGGTTTGTGCTGTGTAACAAAGCTTCAGGAATTAGCTCCCTGTCCAGGATGGACAAGCTGGCTTGCTTCAGGTCACTCAATGCAGCCTGCATTTGCCTTGTAGGAAGGTAAAAAGATGCTTAAAAGCCCCAGTTTTGGCTTCATTTGTTTGCTTYGCTTCACTCAGGTGTCTGTTGGCTTCTGCTCACAGAAGAGAGAGCCAGGAGAGAGAGAGCCAGGGCCCTGGTGGCCAAATTTTGCCACCAAATTCAGGTTTCACTTCAGATTTGCTTCTTCTCATGGCCAAGCTGTTTCACCCTGTGTCCTCCTGATATGCACAGGCGAGCTGTGGCCCCCCAGAGCTCGTGGAGCCCCTGAATCTGTGCTAACAGCCTCAGAAAATGATGGATTTTCCAAGATGCCATATCTGGCAGATAGGGATGTCTCGGGAGAGCCAGGGCAGTAGAGATGCTGCCAGCTGGAGACTGGTCTGAGTGACAGTGTTCTACTGGAATTGTCTCGAGCAGGAATATGAAATATTCCTCAGAAAGCTGAGGAGTGGGGTTGCTTTTGGCTCGGGGCCATCAGCTTTTCAGGGCTGGCAATACGCTGAGAGCGCGCTTGGCTGAAGCCTCTGAAGCTTTCTAGAGATGCAGTGCTCCTTCCTTTGTGCCMGTACTGATTTTGGATGGAAAGTAGAAGGGAAGATGCCGTAGAGAAGGGACCCAAGTGAACCTTGTCCTCCTCCATAAACCTCACTCAGTAGGAAGGCCCTCCTGCCTCCTTCCTGTCGTTCTCCTTTACGCCGTTTCACAAATGCCATGGTATTTTAAATCTCAAACGCTCTCTGCTTCATTAAGCAGCACACACTCCTTGTTCTTGTCTTTTAATGCTTTTTAGGGTTTTCTCCAGGACTTTTTGACATTTCGCTAGGATGAAGACTGTTCCTTTAGTCATCTTCGGCTAAAGACGCCTTCAAGAAGAAAGTTGAAATGACCTGGGGAAAATTCCAAACAGCACGGAAGAGGAAAACAAGTATCCCAGCCCTTAGCATGAGGGAGATGCCTCACTTATAGTAGCTCCATATTATGTCTTATATATACTTCTGTGAAGCACCTATCTGCTGGTGTGTGTACATATATTTACACACACAGAGATATATTCCATTGTATACACTTACTTGTGTAATCACATTATAAACAGCACGTGCATTCTGCGAGTGCATATACCTATAATCAGTATTATACATATATATATATACTCAAAGTTTGAATAAATACTATATATTCCATACTTTGAAGGAGAGATATTCTTGTGGTTTTTATCAAATGTAAGGCTCTGCAACCATAAAATAAARCCAACTCTTCACAAATCAGGATGGCCCACATCAGTGTTTCTTTGTCCATGGGATAATGTGATCATTTCCCTTTCTGTGGTGTTTTCTCCGTGGTTGGAAAAGTGATGCTTTAAGCAAGGGTCCAACTTCTCAGAGCGGGGATTTTGCCCTCGAGGGAACTGGGAGAATGAGGAAAAAAAAAAAAAAGGAGTATTTAATTGGATTGCAAAAATACACAGCCTTGGGAGGAATGGCACATTCTGACATAAATAGAATTTACTCTRTGTTTTGAACCCAGGAATTATTAAGGTCAGCCTTCCCAGCAATGAAATGCACATCAGAATAAATCCTAGCAAGGAGTACTTCAGCCCATTTTTTTCCCATTGGCAGCACTCAGGCAGGATGAGATCTCATTAACTTGACCCAGGACACTGGATCTTTCCTTCCAAATCCACGTGGAGATGCTCAGCAGTCAGCAGGGTCTTGTTCATCTCCATGGGCTTGTTCAGAGGCCATCAGGCAAAGCTGCTGCAGCTGAAGGAAGGCATCACTTTGGGAAGAGAYAGGATTGCCCAGACCCTCCTGCTCAGCTGGAGAGACATCCATCCTTCCTCTTAATCTCCTTGTGGGAAACCTTGAGTTCTCAGTACCTGGGAAAAGATAAACGGTTGTGCTGTGCAGTTTTACTTTTATTGTTAAATTGAGGAAMTGCCCTTTTTAGCTCTCATCAGTCTTAGACTGACATGGCCACGTCTCATCTCCTTTTCCCCATTGCTCGCTAATGTTGTGCTGAACTCTACCAAAGGCTGGGTTTGCACTGCTCATCCTTCGTGACCCTTTAGGGAAAAACAAGCCAGGAAGAACCTTTGGTCCAGTGCAAGCCCAGCAATCCTTATATTTGGAACTGCCGAGCCCATGGGATTGGAAAGRTAGCTTGACCTCAAAACCTGGAGGCTGCTGGAGCAGCAGGGCTGTTGTTCTGGTGGATGATTTTGTTGTGGGGTGTAGCTGAGCTTGGTGCCTGGTGCCCAGAAACTCTTCTCCCTCCTGGTGCCAGTGCTGGAGCAGAGCATGCAGGATCTAGTGCTTTGCACCTTCTGGATGGTGCCAAAGGCTGGGGACTGATGGGAGAGTTTAGCTTGGGGGTGTTTTGTGGAAATGAGGAGAAAAAAATCAGTGAAATGTCCTGCTGAGACACATCTGGTATTGGTCTGGCCAGTGTAGGAGAAAGGGAGGGAGGGGGAAACATGGATTTGTGTGCCCCAGTGCTGCCCAGGGCACAGGGCTGGGCTTGATGCAGAGTCAGCTTTGGAAAACCCAGGTATCACAAGAAAATTGGCTTTGGTTTGCAGATCTTTGCCTCTGAGGGCAGACTGATGGGGCCAGGCAGCTTTTTGGGGACCTGGAGAGGGAATGGTCTGGCTCCCTCTGCAGTACACCCCAAGAATAAGGGCAGGGTTTTGGGGCATTGACTGGAGCAAAAAAAAAGGTGTCCTGGTGGACTTTGAACCAGCAGCAGAGACATCTTCCCAGCTAAYCCCCTGTGCGCCCCTAAGGCCAGGTAAGTGCCTGCTTCCCAAAACAAGCCAGCTCCAGCTGTGCAGGGATCTCAGGCTGCTCTGCTGTCTAGGGCCATTGATGAAGATGCCCTGGCTCAGCACATCACAAACCTCTCTCCTAAAGCTGATGGGGAGTGCAAGCCCCCTGCAAGCCAGTGCAGGTACCTAGCACACTTTAAGACGGATGTCTCCAGCTCCAGCTCTTCTGGTTCCTTCCTCCCAGGGGGATTAATCACTCTGAAAGGTCTGTGCCTCAGGGTGAGGGCAAAAAATTGGAATTTGAGAATGTATTGCCAAAGTCACTGCATTCCTGCCCTGACCCGAGCAGGCTGAGCATCAAATTGCAACCAAAGTGTAAAAGTAGCCTCTGCTTGCTGATCTGAGCAGAGGGTACCCTTGGAAACTACTGCAGCTCCCTGAAGGAGTCGAAAGCTGCTAAACCAGATTCTGGTCTGCTCAGATTTTTCTGTCTCAGCTGGCACATTCTTTGGTGCAGTGACTGCAGGGAAAGGCTGCTGGGGAATTTCTCATCAGGCAGACTGAAAAAGCACATGCAACCCACTGTCTTTCTYTCTCTGTTTCAGTCCCAGCCATGCCATCCCTCTTTATTAAAGTCATTAACAGCACCACTGTGCAGGCGACGTGGGAGCCCTCCATCAAAYTGGGCCAGCACGAAGGCTTCAAGCTGTATTACCGCAAAGTCCACCTCTCCCAGTACACAGGTCCAGTGCTACTGGCCAGCAAYGTCACAGCCTACAATATTACCCACCTGGGTGAGTACAGTGACWCCTTGATCCTTGTCTCCTCCCCACCTGTTGTGAGTAGCAGGAGAGAGCTCGGATGTGTTGCCCAACCCCTAAATGGTGGAGCTCTCCTCCACATTTTGTGGGTGCTTTCCCTGCAACTGGTACTTGTTTGCCGCAACTTTGTGTGTATTTGTAAGATGTTCTTTTCCCAAATAAGCATCACTGGGTGAGATAAGGCTCCTGTWACACCTGAACTGTCCCTTTTGTGTGTCCCCTGGGCAGATGCATCRGTGGTGTACGAAGTCAAGCTCCTTGCCTACAACCAGCATGGGGATGGAAACTCCACTGTCCGCTTYGTGTCGCTGAGGGAAACTGTGGAGAGGACAGGTGAGATGGGGCATGGGCTCGGTGCTGGTTTGGGAAGCAGCTCTGCAGGAAGGTTGTGAGGCCAAACATGTCCTCATCTCACCTTTAGCCACTCATTTATTTTCAGCATCACAAATAAAGCTGAGGCAAAACTCTGCAGGGCTGGGAGCATCTGAATGGCTTTTTTACCAGTGAGGAGAGGACAAACCAAATGTTTTGCACATACTAGGTTTGTCTCCTAAGCTTGAGCCAGTGGTGAGGCCATGAACATGAACAATCCCCCATGCATAAGCTRTAAGCTGCCATCCTCAGGTGAGACATGGTGCACTGAGCATCTCTGCTCTCCTGGAGCTCTCCTGGATAGTTTGACCTTCACTGGTCCAAAGGGAGGACATGTGGCTTTGAAAAGTGAAATGGCTGCAGAGCATGAGCCCTGCATTATGTGGCAGCAAAGGAGAAACCTCTAGAGGGAATCTCTTAACTGATCACACCTTTCRTATTCATCTATGTGTAAAAAACATCCTGCTGCTCTTGGAAGGCTTTTAAGCCTCCAGTGGGAATATCTTCAAGAGRTAGTTATTACTCCTCTGTCTGTGCTGGAGTAAATACTAATTTCATTGGCATCTGTCTACTCCATCAGGTTTCAGCCTGCTCTGTTGTGGTGGCTGCCTCTTACCTCCCACCTCGGCATGGGGGATTACAAAAAGTAACTTCAGAGAGGGGTTTTTTTCATTAACTGTGTCTAATGACAGCAGCCAGGTAATGGGGCTGGCTCACTACAGACATTCYAGTCCTGTGCTTGCTATGTCTCCCTTCCTGGGTGCTGGGAGCAGGAGAGGTTCATAGGCAGGCAGTGATGCTCCTGCTTCCTACTTGGTTCTTCTCTTGCTGTACACAGCTCCCAGACAGCCCAAGGCTCTGACTGTAGCTCTGGGCTTCCCAAAAGCTGGAGGAACAATAGAAGAGTAGCACCACTGACCTCCCTGTTCTCTTTTTCCTGGCAGTGCTGAATCCTCCCTGTGACTGCATGAAGGATGAGCAGAACAATAAAACCTCCACGACCGGCATCATCATCGGGATCCACATTGGTGTCACGTGCATCATATTCTGCATCCTCTTCCTCATGTTTGGGTACCGAGGAAGGTAGGGATGCCCATGCCTCTGCTCGCAAGGGCTGGTGGTCCCTGGTACTGTCGGTGTCCCCACCCGAGTCTTGCACCCCTAGTGTAATGTTGGACTTTATAGGATGGATTGAAGGATGAAGGAATGCAACGCAGGGATAAGGCAGACACAGACTTGGGGGAAAGAATATAGAATGAACTATCTTTCTCACTCTCAGGCTCCATCTCTTTATTTTTCAGGCTGCTGATGTGCAAAAACGTGCAGGAGCAGCTGTCAACCCCGCAGATYCCCCGGAGCCAGCGGAGCGCCACAGGCCTCGTCCTGAACGGGGCCACTCGCAGGGACAGGGACGAGCGGGACTTGAATGGAAAGCAGCTGGATATGAACGAGCTGGAGAGGTTATTCCCAGCATCCCCRTCCCAGGAGCAGCAGAAGGGAATAACGGTAAGACCAGTGGGATGGAAGCACACCTGGCTGTGCATGGGTGWGCTGTCACTGTCACTGCATTGTCCCCTTCTCTCTCTCTCCAGTTGGCTCACAGCCCATCAACCCCCCACAACGAAACCCAGATCTCCACACTCCCTCTGGATGAGTTCAGCATCATCGAGGAGCAGCCAGACCCCCTCCCAAAAAACCCCCATGGCAGCAGTACTGCTGCTCCAGCTCCTGACCATGGTCCTGCCAATGAAGGATAAAACTGCCAAGACTCGAAGCCTCATGTAGGAGTTACCAGAAACCAAACCCACGGCTGGTGATATCTTTACGAGTTTTCAATCTCAGGTCAATTGAAGATTTCTACGGTCTGATTGTTATTTTTTTGTTTTGCTTTATTTTTATATATATATATAAATATATATATATGTATACAGCCCTTTGGAAACTCTGTGAAGTTTATCTTTCTGACCTCTCTCAAGCCTCTCGATGTGTTTATTCTGATGATGGCTCTCTGGAGACTGGTCATGATGGATTTTCCCTGCAGCTGCTACTTAACAGACTCCTTGGCAGAGTTTGGCAAATTCTCCAGTCCCTGACAGACTGGGAATACAGTGGAGCCCTCATCTCTTGGCATCCCRGACTTTTCCTGATCAGCAGCTTTAGGACTACTTTTTGGATCTATTTTTTATTTCCAGAAGACTGGATTTGGAAAAATCCTTCTAATTTGACTCCAAAAATTGAGGCCCAGGAAGGCTGTCTCTCCATGGATTTGATGATTTTGTACACTTTCACTATTTCTCAGGATACTTTTTTTGCTGATTGACTCTAAATAATACAAAAAAAAAAGAAAAAAAAAAAGAGTGTGTGTGTGTCAAAGGATGCCCGAGGGCTACTGAAAGACTTGGACAGACAACCCGAACTCAGAACCTACCTCAACCGGAATGAATGTCTTCTGGGAAGCAGAAATACCTGCGTCTTCCTTTGTGTTCAAACAAACAAGTAGCATAGCACTTGGTCAGTACAAGCATGGTCCTACCTCAGCAGTCACGCTCTGTACCCGCCACCTCGGTGGCTTCCTTGTTGTTGTTCCCATGTAAAGCACTTCCAAACCTTTGAAAGCAATGTTCTACCTCAAACGTGAGAGAAACTCGTGTGTGTGTGTGTGTGTGTGTGGGGGTGTGTGTGTGTGTGTGTCCTCTCCTCCCCCCAATTCCTGCCTCTCCCACCCAGCCCCGCACGAAGCGCGATGCTTCACGCGTGTTACGAGCTTTACTTTTGGGGGCTCCGGTGTGATTTTGTGTGGCAGAGATTCGTGTTGTGGTTTTTTACTTTAAAGGTTGTTGGGGCTGTCACAGACAAGCAGCGCGATGCTCTGCGACTCCCCAGCACCGCTGCCCTTCCAGGGCTGATTTGAGCACCGGTCCATCCTGGGTGGATGGGGATGGGGTGCTCAGATGCCAGTGCTGGGGCCAGGGCACCCTTCTGCCCCATCAGTGTGCTGCTCCCCAAGGCTGATCCCAACAGAATGATTTATGGCATGTGCCAGCATGAGCAGCACAACACAACCCTGGGAGGTGGGAATCTGGATGCCACCATTTTGTCCCAAAGYCCACCCTGCCATCAGGAGCATCCATGGGGAAACTCCCATAGAACACTTCCAGAACCCCTTGAGATGCTACTGAGCTGCTCCCAGCTCCTCCAGTGTCTTTCCAGCCATGGGAGAATGTCCCAAGGGTGAGTGGAGCCAAAAAGAGCTCAGTTCCCTGGGAGGGACAAAGCAAGGAGGATGCTGGGGGCTGCCAGAGCCACCCTTTCCCCATGCCCAGGGTGGGCAGAGGAGCTCCTGACACCAAAGAGAGGGTTTGTCCCCTCCAGAGATCAACCACCAACCTGCTGCTGTGGAGGTTGGGTTGTCCTGGCATGGTGCAGCCTTGCGAGTCAGTGTGTGACCAGCATCATCCGTGGGGTCAGATGGGGGCACACACGGGGGACAGGGACACCAGGTGCCAGCTGGTGCCAGAGGGCAGCCCTTTCCCTGCTGTGTGGGTTGGTTAAATCCGGGCAAATGTGAAGGTTTGATCTCTTTGTGTAGGTGGTGGTAAATCAAATGTTGTTGTATTTGCAAAGACAGTGAAAGGAATCAGGAAAGAAAATGAATTTAAGTTTAAAAAAAGTATTAATTGTATTTTTTTAAATGGTACCAGTGGGAGAGTYCCTTGTGTCAGAAACAACCCCCCATGACCTGCCCAGCTGGCAATGGGATGCAAGCAATGGCTGTGTAAACAGTATAAAATACAGGAGGATGTGCAAACGCCTCTTGCCTGAGATGAGTCCTGGTACTGGGCGGGGTTACCTGGGAGCAGGACTCTGTCCTTSCACATCACCTCATCCAGCTTGGCCCAGGAGGTGTAATGGCACCAACCTCAGKAGTAAGGAGCTGTTCAGGCTTGGTGTTCTTAGTCCTCTTCCACTAAAATGTGTCCTCCTGTTGAGGTCATGCARAACAGAAAAGATACAAAGGATTACATTTTGACATTAAACCCCCTTCAAACAGGCCCCTTCCCTACCCCACCAAAGAGGCTAAATGGGCCATCAGATGATCCCGGCTCACACCTACATGGTGGGATGCTCCTTCCTGTGATGCTGGACCTGATATAGCCTGGGAAGGGACTGTGGGGGGACAGTGTCGTGTGAGACTGATGGCACAGCCCACCCCATTGCAGGAGTCAGAAGATGCTGGGGCTAGGGGAGGGCAGGAGGGAGGAGKAGACACTAAACAGCTCGAGTTATAACCTCATATCAAACACAACCCAATCCTCTCCTGCCATCCCACTCCCACTCCAGCCCAGTTTTTCTTTTTATTATTTTTTTTCRTGTGTGTAACACCGCCGTTCACATTGAATAAGTACCGTTGCCAAAGTGAACACAGAACCTAGAGTAGTGTTCAGCTCAGACTTTCTGGAGCTGTGAACATGCTATTAATTTAATATCATATTATTGTGATATTGTAATAGTAAAAAGTATTTGTCACTACTTCCTTTTATTAAAGGGAAATGCTGTGCCATTTGACTAGTTGGAATACAATAGTATGTCAAGAGTAGAACTTTTTCTTTTGTTGTGTTTTTTTTTAATTATGCAGCAACATGGTGGCTTAAACCAATACAGATTCTGTGCTGGTTTGAGATGGTTGAAGATGGATGTAAATCTTTGAAGACTATTTTTTAGATGTTTAGCTTTTCCTCTTTTTTTGGGGTTTCTTTTCCAGTCTTGTCAATCTGTGACATTGGGACCTAATGCAGAYGGTTGTGGCAGCTCAGTCTCTGAAGGGGAGAGGCTGAAGTCTGGTGATCCATGAGGAGGACATGGTCTTCTCTGAATTATCCAAGTCCACCAAACTGGGCAAAAAACCCAGTCAAAATTACGTATTGGCTTTGTGCCTCTAGCTGCCTCTCAGCTGGAAAAGCAACATGTAACATCCCCTCTTGCTGTTTTCAGCGCCTGAGCTGGGCTGGAGGCAAAGCTGTGCCAACCAAAAACTTGAGAAACATAACCTGTCTGGCCCTTAATCTGAAATGAGAAGGAAAAAGAACAAAAAAAGAGCTTGTGTTTGGTTTCAGCATGGAGGACAGTCTGCCCTTCGTTCATCCAAACTGCTGCCCTGGTTTTGAGGGAAATGGATGAAATTTTATTCTGTGCTTGGGACACAGTTGTACTCAAGTAGACAAGTTGTATTTGGGTAGATACATTGTATTTGGGTGAATGTGGAACAGCAGGTCCCCATGTGTTGCAGATGTGGGACTGTGCCACAAGAAAGGGGTCCAGGCCTCATTTGGCATCCCCAGAGCAGAGATTGAGGCAGCCAGACAGTCCCAGGSTGGATCCCAGCGCCTTTCACATCAGCGCCCGCCTGCCAGCCAAGGGCAGCACTCCCTTCACTCTCCTTTGCACACCACAACATTTAAGGAACAGCCTGCCAGGTTTCTTATTCCTTTTCTTTCCCCCACTTTTTCCTGATGGGAGGAATCAGTTCTACCCAAAGATAAAACCAGTGGATAATGGGCAGGTATTGGATCTGGTGCAAACTGCTGGAAACTGCCCATGTTTGGGGTAGGAATCTCATCCTATAGTATTTTTCAAATAATTACACTAATTCAACCCATTGCCTTTTCTCAGCTGATCCAAAAACCCTCTTAGTTTCTGGCTGTGGTGAGATGAAATATCCAAAAGCTAATTTTTAATTTTTTTTTTTTTAATTTTTGGTAACCCATAATGGGCACAACCTATTCTTGGAGTTCTCAAGTTAACCAGAGACGGCTGTTTCCTCAGGGATAGTATCCACATTCTCTTTAGTTGAACAGGGAATAGTTTTATGCTGTGACAGGGTATTTTCACACTGTTGGATTCAGGTATTTATTTGTCTACCRTTATYTTTCTTCTTTGTTTTGTAAAGGTGCTGATATGTTTAAGTGCTGGACCARTTTGGGAATTTTAAAGCTTCCACCCAAAATTATACCAAGGGACTGTAGGTTTTAAGCTGGCAATAAAAGAGGAGAGAAGCTACAAAGTGTTGTTGCCTCTGGATAGAGAAGGGAAGGGTTTTGCTGCCTGCGGGGGTGTTCCTCTGGAATAACCATCCCATGGCATTTCAGGGGGRATCAGTGCAGTGTCCGAGCTCTCTCTGAGCTGAGTGACAGCACTTAAGTCACGGAAGATTGGTTAAAAAAAGGAAATTAAAAGCTTATGAAAACAAATGGGGGGAGCTACTCACTTCATCTGTGCAAACAGTGGGTGGAAATCTATCCCTCCCCGTGCGCACCGGAGCAGGCAGGTTACAGATCCCATCGAGCAACCTGACGCTGGCTCATTTATTTCCCTCACCCGCCAAATTAAAATAAGGGAAAGGAAAAGGAAGGTGCCTGGGCTGGATCTTCAGGCAGGGAGGGTGAAGCACCAGCACCCCCAGCCGAAAGTGCTGCTGGCATGGGGCCATGGCACTGAAACCCCCTGGAACACTGGGAATCAGGGAAATGGCTCCAGGTTTGCTGCAAGGGCAAAGTCTGGGCTTCAGCATCATGTAGGGAGAAGGGACGGGGCTGGTGTGAAACCCAGCAAGTCGGGGACAAGCCTGATTTCACGGGGCTTTGGATCAGGGTCTGACTTAAAAAGCAAAGAGGGATTTGTACTTTGATCCTATTTCCATCATTTAAACTTGCAATATCTATACATTTGTAAGTCATAATAAAACCAATGCTAAACCTTTGTCGCAGTCCTTTTTGGGAATCAATTGTTAAGAGTAATACTAAAAACCCAAATTGCAAAGCACTTTTCTACTGTTTATTTTCTAACTTTTCTTACTTTGAACTGTCTTGATATTGAAATCCCACTGATCCCACGATTGTTAGCYCTGTATTAAAAAAATAATAATAAAACCCAGGTTTTTTGTAGTTTGCTCTGTTTAGATTTTAGCCTGTGGCTACTTGTACAAGAAAAATAAAACTAGAATAAATGAGCCTGAGTGGGACTTTTCTTTTCACATGCAGGGCTGTGGTGTGAGGATCATGCAGGGTGAGTTGCGGCATCACCACTTCAAGTGGATGGCTCATGATTCTGGCTTCTCTCAAAGAGCAGCTTCCAAAATTCAGCATTTAAGGGCTGAGGGGTTTTTATTTTGATGCTTTGCACATAAAACTYCAGCCAAGCCATCAGCAGAGGCCTGCTGGAGCATGGGGGCTCTTTGGGATCTGGGTGAGAGGAGATGTCCAGGGTCACAGTGTGACACCAGTGCTTGGAAGTGCAAATCAATTTCCAATTAATCTTGGCTCTTGCTCAGCTATTGCTGCATCTGCTTTTCCTGCTGCCTCCAGAGCTAACGGAGCAGCGTCTGTGAGGGTRGTGAGGCCCTGGCACAGGCTGCTCAGAGAAGCTGTGGCYTCCCCACCCCTGGAAGTGTCCAGGGCCAGGTAGGATGGGGCTTGGAGCAGCCTGGTCAAGTGGAAGGTGTTGGAATGGAATGATTATGAAGGTCCCTTCCAATCCTAACTATCCTGGGATTCTAAGATGTATCCTTGCCCCAAAATGGGCTGTGAACCATGAGCCACCCTCCTGCCACTGTCCCATGTGCTGCTGCTGCTGCTGCTGCTGCCCTCAGTACCAAAGGACAAAGTAGAGGCTGCTGGGCATAAATGAGTGATATTAAGCCCAGCAGCACTTTCTAAAGGGGTTTCAATAAGCAGGTGAGTGAAAAGTCACTTCAAACAACTCCCCGAAGTTCTCAGAACAGCTAAATTGCAGCATGGATTGTCTAAATATATACTTCRTAATAAATACCAGCATAAAAACTGATTTTATTTCCCAGTGGCAAYGCAAGAGGTGAAAAAAAGATCAGAGTGGGCTCACTCGGGGGATTTTCATGTAAGTTCACTGAAATCTGGTACTTGAGATAGCAGCTGCAGAGTCAAGGTATTGTATAGAGCTTGTAGCTTTCATTAAAAAGGACTTTCCCTGCCTTCATGGCAATAAAAAAAGGTTTGACAATATTAATCTAAAGTCTTAGAAACTAAGGAAATAAAAAACTCCAAGCAATAAGTTTAAATTGCTTTGATTTTTGGCTGTTGGAAATACTAAGAGCCCTCAAAAAAACCCTACTTGAGTGCTCRAAACTCATCTTTAATAGAATGAATTTCTTTTAGACCATGCGCATTCAAATTTCTGCTGGAAACAAATCAACTCTTGAGCTACAGAAACACTAAAAAAACATTAAGTYGGGTATTTTCAGCTCCAAACACCGCGTTCCTGCCTAAGATATCTCTGGAGAAGATGTTACTGCTAATGTCCTAGTTATAACCCTGCCAACACAGGGAGAATTTATAATATCCCATAAAGCCCTAACTATCAGAAAGGTCATTTTGGCGTTAACACTGCTYGGGCATCACCACTTCATTTGCTGASACTTTTACAGAGCCACGCTTGATTCCAGTACGGCTGCTGTAAAACCTTTACAGCGACAGCCTCAGCCTCCAAAAATTGTCTTAAAAATCAAGAGCTGGAACATCTTTATCAGCAGGTGCAGGTGGCTCCAAAAGGCTTCGTTCTTTCTCAGTGTGGGGTCTCCCAAAACCCAGGGTGATCACCCCAACCCACTGCCCCAGGGGGGAATTTAATCCTCAAATCTCATCTCCAGCCCTGTTATTCCCAGCACCTTCACAGCCCACCAGAGCTCGCTGCCTTAGCTAAATTAAAAGTCTCCTAATTTCATACAAAATTACCAACCCCTCGCCTTGCCCAGAAAGCYATTTCCTTAGTGCTAAAATAGCTAAATTAGTCTTGCTCAGCCTCCTAAAGGACCTTGTCTTGTTTATTGAGCGATAAATATAAAGGTACAGTAACTAAATTCATCAGTCCCTAAACGCAGCCGTTGGGAATGGCCATTTCCACCATCCAATCTATGGCTGCATGAATATTTCAGAGTCCTTTTTCCCTTGGGTG